CTGGGTATTACGAGGACTGTTTCCCAGAGTTGTGTGGCAGCAGATATAATGTAAGTATATTTCTAATGATTGCTAGTGGCAGCAGATTGAGGCGCTTGTTAATTAGAGTGACCTCCCTTAGTTGTTTTACAGTCCAAGCCCTGTCCCATCATTTGACACCTTCGTTACCCTCCCGGTATAGAGTGCTCCACTGAGAGTAGCTTGTTTACAGTTGTCGATGCACTTCTGGGATTGACCATCTCATTTGAGATGCTTCACAATTTCTAGAAGGATGGCTGTGCCTATATAAAAACAAGACAAGTGCGATTCGAGGTTTTCTACGACTTGCATCTTGTCTACTTGCCCAGTGGTGAAGGGATGCCTATAGGAAATCATCAACTTATTACCTGTTTAGTTATCTGTTGATCTTGTATGGTTATTTACTGATTTCATTATTTAGTTCTGTACCTATCGAATTCGGGGTTCACCTTAACATTTCAACTTGGAATCATATCAGAAAATTATACCAGCCAGTTTTATCAGACAATTTAAAAAACTAACTAGTCTTTGATAGCCAGTAGTCACTATTAAGGTTGTATATCGTGTATTTCATAGAATGTTACTTTGGTTACCAGTGATTGTAACAATTCAGTATTACCACATGTGAAAAAAACAAATGCGCAATGAGCATTATGAGTCTTTCCTTTGCATGTAACCAGACTGGTATGGTCACTTCCCAGGTCATTGTACTGCAGTCTGTCGTATCAAGCTTGTAGTGGACTCTCATGTGTGATGTAACAAGTGATTGTTATCATTAAGTGCCAGTTGTTTACCTGACCCAGACAGCTAGGTGATGTTGATAACCCACATAAGGACTATCAGTCTGTTGCGTATCTCTCCATATGTCTGTGTAATTACATAAGGTATCTCATATGCTAGTTTCAATGATGTTTTCTGTGAAGTGAGGTTAAATGTATCGCTTGATAGTTTTGTCTGTCTGATATAGGTCAAGGAACTGTCACCTACATCTTTGTGATACTTAATCACTTGAAATTCAGGGCACAAATTTATGTGCTAGTGAGTCTATTGCAGTCTGTAGGAAATAGTCAGTTTATGAAAGATTTTAATTGGTGAGTGAAGTGACTTCACCATGAACACTATGTGATATTCAAGTAAGCCCTTGTCTGTGAGATGCCTAATTGTGAAAACTTGCGATGTCACACCAATTGAATGAGAAAAGGTTAGGGAGCATTCATTTGATTTGTAGAAGTGGGGGATGGGAGTGATTTTGTTTTGAGAACATTCTTATTTTCCCCACCAAATATATCCAACATGTCCAACAAACTTTTTATTTGCTGAGCACCTTCAGACAATCTATTCATGTCCACTATTAACATAAAGATATTAGGGTATTTCTGTGAGTTTTTTAGAAATAACTTGTTTTCAAGAAAATACAGTTATTAAAAACTAAAATTGGAAATTTGAACTATTAAGTTTTTGTACCACTATGAACAAACTTTATTTTGGGCACATTTCTGAACAAACTATTCATTAAAAAAATTGTTGTTTAAAAACCCTTGGTTGCAACAAAGTCATGGAGAAAGAATTGGTTCACTTTTTAATCTTACAGAAGCTTAAAACTGTTTTTATACACAATCTTGTTAAAGAGGACCTGTTTTGTATATTTCAATGGTAATGGTGCCGATTTCCAGTCTGTCCAGGCATATTGTAAGAAGTGCCTTGTTTGAATCTGATACATTGTTTCTGTGTAATTAGGGTAATCTTGTCTGCTGGTATAAACTGGTTCCTGCACAATCAAACTGTTGTGTATGGAGTAGTGTTTTAACGACATAGTTTGAGTCATCTTATCCAATACATGAAACTAAGCAGCTGATAACCATAGACCAAAGTCAAATAGTCTCAGATAGGGCATTTTTGGTCAAGTACAACAGTGATAGGGCAATATGTAATGCAACCACATTCAGAGCTCCAGATAAGCTGCATATCTGCGTAAAATACGCATCAGAAATGCAGAAAAACGCAGTGAAATAAAATTCAAGCGTATCAAATACGCAACGAACATTACAGATACGCTACAAAAATAAGACTAGTGCGTATCATCGAATTATTGTGAAGTAACCCTGCGTATTTGATTAGCAAATCAGCAACTTATTTTGAAATTATATACAGACATTCCGTCAACCTTGCCAAACTCCACAATGACAGTTACATCATGATCATTTGCCATCACACATTCTTGTGGAACTATCGCAGTATGTTTGAGTCCCATAAAGCTCTCGAACCCACAGGACAAGATTGCAGGTACTAGATGAATAGTGTTTTTAAATATTTAACTTTAATAGCCACATGTGTAAAAACTTGTGGGTAACAGAAATTTGAATACCCAGATAGAATTACTGATACCCAATGATTTTAAGATGCATGGGTAAAATACCCACAACACCAAAACCTTATCTGGAGCTCTGCACCTTTGAGAACTTTGTACCGTGACTTTTGAAATGTCATGCACAGCTGATGTGGAAAGCAGTCACATGAATTATGACAAGGTCACGGTGACTCCCATGAGTTGTGTGATGATTTAATAACCGAGTATTTAAGTTTGTCTGCCGGCCTTTCTGGCTAGGTGACCACTTCCTTGTTGTTGTCCGTATCAGTGTTGCTGGGGATACAACTTGCTTCCTCGTCTTTACTTATGTACAATTTATTAAACAACATGTTGGGTTTGTACAAGCATTAATCATATCCGTGAGCAGGTGCTGTTATGTGGGTGCTCACCTCTACAGTTACCACACTAGATATATGAGTGTGAACGTGATGATGACAGCATCAGGAACCAGCAGTAACATGTGCTTGGATATTATGATGTAACTTGTGTTGTATCTTACTTAACCTGCCCTTAACCATGTTAAAAGTTTTTATTCAGCTCACCTGCTGTTACCATTCTTTTGACATTGTAATATCCAAACTGCTCTGAATTATGTCATATCCTTCTAATGATGACATTTCTTGTTTAAATCATGGTGATTTTTTAAAAATAAATATTTGAAAACATTTTGAGCAAAAGATGTATAATCATTCTCTCAAAAGCTACAATTTTGTGTGAATGATATTGTGTATAAGCAGATTCAAGTTTGTTCAAGGCATCATATTCGGCAGTCAACGTTGTTTTTCTCAAAATGTGTTGTACTAGAAGTTCTGAAACTCAGCATAAATGTTTGTCACCATAATAAAGTTTAAGTTATGTGAAATCATCCAAGTATATAATTTACATTTTGTAACAAATTATGAACAAAGCCATATGATAAAGAGTGCAAACTTAGAAAAGTATATATTAGACCTTGTCGACCCAACCACATACTGTACAAACCTACCATCACCTTTCATCGAATTATCTACATACATTGAGAAACAATGAAAAGGGTAAATAAAACAAGAGAGAAAAGGAGGTTTTCACATATGGTTGCTCAAGAAACGGTTAGAGTACTATTTAGGAGAGGTACAAAGTTTCACAAATCTATGCTTTGTGGTATCAAGCTAGCCCAAACAGTACACAGACAGTGTATAAGTGTGACTGTTACCCCTTGGTCGGTCAGAGACAGAATTCCCTTTCCTTTGGAGGTAAAACCAAGGGTAAGGGACCTGAGGCCTTTCAAAGAGGGGTTTCTTTTTGTGATAGGCTTCTTAAAAGGTCCTTGACCCTGTGACCCCTGGTAACTCCCACACTAATATCTTTGCCCTTTTAGCATGCTCTGAGATATCTTCTCCTCTGGTACTACTTGACTGATGAAGCTAAGAGTTGTTATGGATGTTCCTTCTAATGATAATGATAAGAAGAATAAATAGTGTCATTAGGTCACAAGATAACACTGCTCACTAAAGTTACCTTTTTCTCTTATGATATTAATATTTTTATCACTTAACTTGTTACTTGTTATCACTAAACTTGTCTTTATTTTGGAATAGGGTAACTTCTTTTATGAAAAGACTTTGGTCAAAATTAGAGGAAAGGTGGTGATTGGGCTGGTTCCATGTCTACATGTGATGTAACATTCCCCCTGAAATATATATTCGTCTCAGAAACTGCAGACTGGAATATTCTGTAAATTTGTGACAGTGTTTGTTTATGGGGTTTTGGTTAATAAACATGATAAAAGGCATCCAAATGGAAAGGTTTTTTTCAATTGGAAATAACTGGTAGAGAAGGTATATATACCATGTGTACAAAATCAGATGTGTGCTTCGTGTAATTATCCAGGTCAGCTACTGTGCGGAGGTACTATCTTTGACAATATGTCTTGATATTCATTTGGAAATGAGTAGTGTTAATCATGTTACTTGCAATCAACTGTTGTTGATAACTTGATATGTTGGTATAAGCAGTGAGAAAGAACTTTTGTTTCCCCTTGAAAATAATATTATTAGTAATTGTTTCCAATTTGCATAATCATGTTCTCTGTGGTAAGTTTTTGTCTGGGATAGAAATATGCGATAGCCGGCTAGCCAAGACACTTGATCTAATGTTAAAGGTTCCCTTCCACATGTGGAGGAATTATACACAATGCATATATGTTATCACTATTTGGGCAAGTATACGTTTCAAATTGGTCCAGACTCGATTATTTACAGACCACCGTCATATAGCTGGAATATTGCTGCCAGAGCACCGTGATAAACAACAAACAAACAAACAAATTCAGGACAATATCTACCATTGTAATGGTGATCATTGATGCACCTCAACTCATCAGCCTAAATCCCCAAACTCAGTCAAGATCATTTAGTTCAGTAAGCATTGCAAGCATGATGTTCCTTGGGGCAGTTACAAACAGCGCAATATGTTACTCTAGAATGTAAGTTTGTGGTCCTGCTAGTAGAGCATATAAAGTGTAAAGGTTTATTTACAGATATACGCTATGATCATGATGATACAGGTTCACTGTCTTATTTGCAGTATTATACTGATTGTATTACCAGTGACTTATGACACCCTGGTCTTTCAGGCAATAACATCCCGGTTTCTGCACTGTGATAATGGCAGAAGCTCATGCTGCTGTTGCCTTCTCCTTCACCGTCACCCCAGATGGAGTCAATGTCAACCTCAACCATGAGGCCATCAAGGCAGTGTGGGACAGTGGCATACTGTCATGGAAGAAGAGAATAGGACGTATGAAAGTAAGTTGACTGTATCGGGTTATAAATAGATATTTAATAGCATGGGCATTGTTGATAATATTATACATGCAACAATGCATGTCTGCATAACAAGTAAACATTAGTGAATTCTATGAAGTGCGTATGATATGAATAGAGGAACTATCCTTCTGTTGCTTGCTTTTTAGCATCTTCCCGAGGCAAGAGAGTTAACTGACTATAAAAGGCTGGTATTATGGAGTTACATTTTGGCTGGACTAATGAGCAATTGGAAATAGCCACCGGTGGTGCTCCGTTTGAGCCCAGGAATTCCAGCCTAGTTCAGCAAGGGTGGAAACTTGACTTTTATAGTCAGTCAACCCTCTTGCCTCGGGAAGATGGGTTTCTAGTGTATGTAAGAATCAGTGTAAACATATCCAATCAAGTGAGTGAATGGCTGTTGATTGTGTCATTGTTCATGTTCAGGTGGCCTTGAGCAACAGCCTCCAGGGCTGTGGTGACACATGGCATTGTAGTTCACTTACAGCAATTATTACCAACATGTTCCCTGCAGGCACACACTGAAAGCAGCAACTTTCAATTGTTACATTATTGGCCCATAATAGCCATGATTTGGTCCATGGTTCACAGATCAGGTTCTTGCATCATGTGCATGAAGTTACATCCACAGGTGTTAATGATATTTGGATTTGGGATGTTTTGTTGTTGTTCGGCTGAATACTTGTCAAATATACATTGCAAAGTCACATGGTTTTAGTTTGAAAAGAGATGATGTAACCACCAGTATAAGTAATCACTGTACTTAATTTGACAATTATTTAGATTGAGAAACATGAAGAATGATAAAAAAAACATAGCAAGTCATTCTTTGTTTGTGAGTGTTATTATCTATAATGACTGCTGTAACTTCAGAACAACTTCCATAATGGCGTGTACCCAGCATCCCCGATCTCACTGGTCTTCACCCTCACTCTCATACTGGCTCTTGTCCTGGGAGGATATGACCCTTCCTATGGCTGCATCTCCTACATCCAGGCACATATACCACTGTAAGTCTTGGTGTTGTCAACTCTGTTGGTTAATAAATGAACCTTTGTTTAGAAGGCATGTGGAGATTTGGGGCAAGGATACAGGTCACCACCACCAACCTTTGCTTGTAAGAGGCAAGTAAACAGATCAAGAGGTCAGGCTCAGTGACTTGGTTGATTACATGTCATCCCATCCCAAGTGTGTGGATTATGCTTATAATGCCAATAACTGGATTGTGTGGTCCCATTATTTACAAACCACCAACATATAGCTGCAATATTTCTGAGTGTGGCGTTGAACAAAAGTTCCAAAAATCCACAATTTGAAAATAAGTTGAAAGCGGTTTACAATTGCAACAAAATCATTTTGTGTAATAATTGATCACAGCATTGAGTATGTAGTCTCTAGCCTATGCAGACATTTTATGATGGGAACAATGCTTTCAGTGTGAAATATACATGTTAGTGTAAAATTAGGTAACATTCTGCACTTTTGGCAGTACAGTAAACTATGTTAATCATGTTAAAAACGAAAACGCTAATAATATCGAACTGTTGGATATAACAAACTTATGTTTGGTATACTGTATAATATATGCTGTACATATGCTTATAACGAACTACGGTTATCCCGAACTAATATTAGTGGTCGCTTTGAGTTTGTTATAACCGTAGTTTACTTTACGATGTATTGACATCTAATTATTCCCTCTAAACCAGCTGAGGGGGCGGTCAGGTAGCCTAGTGATTAAAGCGTTCACTCATCACGCTGAAGATCCGGGTTCAATTCCCGACATAAGTACATTGTGTGAAGCCCATTTCTGGTGTCCCCAGTCATGATATTGCTGGAATATTGCCAAAAGTCGTAAAACAATACTTACTCTAAGCCAACTGACCAAATTAAATAAGAACCATTGAGACAGACTCTGTGGTCTAGTGGTAGAGCATCTGCTAAGAGAACGGAAGGGCCGTGGTTCGATCCCTGTCCCACAGCATTAAGGGGCTAAAACAAGGACTGGTCGATTCAGAGTCAGTATACTGCTTCTGAGTGGAGTATTCATGTGAAACTGCTGCATGGTATCTCAGTGGGCTAGCACTAAAAAAATCAGCATTAATCCGGACTAATACAAACAGACACAGACACACACACCCATCCCTGTCTATTATAATTGAGCCATCCCAAACTCTGACACTGATATGTACATATGCTTTTGTATTACAGGATCACTCAATGCAAGTGATTTTGAGTAGGTATTTGTTTATGTTAATGAATACGAACATTTTCCACTGAACTCTACAGGAGGGTCTTGTTGTTGACATCACTGCTATAAGACCCTTAGTACAAATGGGAACTCAAATATGATATCCAGCGACAGAAACAAACAGTTTTAATCCACTAGTCCTTATAATGATAACATATAGTAAAACCCTTGAAAAGAGCAAATTTCTACTTGTCTATGGGGCAGTTTTGTAAGGACAACAGGACTAGTGCCAATTTTTATCCCCCGCCGGGCCAGAATGGCCGAAGGGGGATTATGTCGTGGCGCAGTCCGTCGGTTTGTCTGTCCGTCTGTCTGTCCGTCCCAGAGAGGATACTAAGCTTGTGAAATCAACTCCTCCAGGTTTTAGAGAATATCCCTGACACTCTACACACAGGATGTCGACATGTTGATGATACGCATATCGCAGTCCTGTTTCATTTCGACTAATTTTGACAGAGTTACTGCCCCTGTTTTACGGAGCTTCATGAAATCTACTCCTCCAGTTTCCAGAGAATATCACAATATCTAACTATAACTATAACTATAGTTAGTTTCCTTGTATAAGGCTTTTGTGGGTGAGCTACATCCTTATGATATTAGCATTCAGACTGGATTACTCCCAACAAAATGTTCTGCACAATTTGTTTCAAATGCAGTGCCATCTACTGTTGTTATTTCATAAAATACAAAGAAAATATAAACTCGTTAAAAAAATTCATGCGGGGGATGTTGCGCTCTCAGAGCACTCTTGTTAACACTGATATCAATGTTACCTTTGCATGTTTTCTGTGACCTTGATTTCATTTGGCAAGTTTGTGATTGCTAAATGATTTCTACTTCAGCCTTGGAGTAGGCAGCACATCCATGTGTCTGTATGTGAGCTGTGTGTTGTTCTCCACGCTGCTGTGGGTGGTCGTCATCTTAGCCATACAGTACACACTGCGCTTTCTCCTTACCTACCACAAATGGATATACGAGGTGCGCGGACCCATCTCACTCAGGACCAAGATCTGGATGGTATGTATGTCTATCAGTAACATGTGTCTTCATTTCTTGCAGGTAACACTGCTTGTAGAGTTTTGTTTGAGCTGTGAATGGTCTATCAATTGCAGATTCAATCCTTCCTGACAAGTAAAAAGATTATGTCAAGGGGTTATGATGTTTCTTTGTCTGGCAAACCTCAGTCCTTTGTAAACATGTGAAAATATTTTCACACTGTTTGGAATTTTTTTTAAATTACCCTAAACATGCAAAAGATTGAGGGTTTTTTTTGGGGGGGGTGGGAATTATTTTTAGTTCGACTCATAATTTACCGGTACTCCGAAAAGTAGTACAACAATTATGCTCAAAGTAGGATGTGGTTACCATGTCAGTAACACAGGTTACACAATATTTTGCCACTAACTATGTCCTATGTCATTAAGTGTCATGCTTTTTTGTTCATCCCAGGCCTAAGTTCATCAAAGAATTCACTAAAAATAGGAGTCTTCGTTATTGTTTACAAATTTTGAGATCAATAAACATGATAAATACTATGTTACTTTTTTTAAGATTATGGATAAGAAGTATTTTGACTAGTTTTCCAAGAGCAAGGGAAAACATACCCCTTAATAAATTTTTGTCACTTTGTATGTGTTGTATTATTTATCATGTTTTATGTGGTGTGTTTCAGGGTCTAGTGCGAGTGTTTGGAGGTCGAAACCCTCTCCTCCACAGCTACCAGGGTTCACTTCCCAAGTTGTTTGTCCCGCCACTGGATGGCACATTGTCAAGAGTGAGTTATACATGGACGTCACTGTCATGATTCATCTTGATAGCTGGCATTAATCCAGTAGGCATTGTGTGTTACTGTTAGAATTGGTCCCCAGCAAACTATGCTGTTCACCAGAGGAGACTAATGGATAAGATGGTCAGACTCGGTGACTTTGTTGATTTTTGCGTGTCATCGTAATCTGACAGCTTGGATGGTTGTTCACCGTATTGATCACTGAATTGTTTGGTCCTGACACGGTTATTTACAGGCCATTGTCATGAAGTATTGCTGACTGCGGCTTTAAACAACAAACAAAGAATTATTATATTAATTATTCTGCTACCATGATGAATTACCATCAGTTTATAAGTTCTCTGACCTGTCTTAAGAGCTGGCTCTGATGCTGAAGCAAATGCAAATTCAAGAGTAAAGATACTTGGTGATATGTAGACACTGTTGTCTTTCAGTACCTCAGATCTGTTCGGGCTCTGCTGGATGATGAGAAGTATTCTCGCATGGAAAAGTTGGGGCAGGAGTTCCGCAATGGGATTGGGACAAAACTGCAGCGCTACCTACTGCTCAAGTCATGGTGGTCTGCCAACTATGTGTCTGACTGGTGGGAACAGTATGTCTACCTCCGTGGACGTTCACCTATCATGATCAACAGCAACTTCTATGGCATTGTAAGTCCAGAGTAACTCTGTGATAACTCTGACAAGCACATGAAATATAGCATGAGGATTCATGGCATGACAAACACACTCTTTTGAAAATTACACACTTTTTGTTTGAATATTTTTAGATAAATAGGAAAAAAAGTAGACTTTAATCTAAATACCTGAAACCATAATTCTAATTTGCAAATGATATATGGAATGTATTTTTAAATCAGAATTATTCCCTCCAACATAGAGATTTTGTGAAATTGTCCGTATGGTCTTTGTTATATGCAAGGTCTGTGTAAATTGTAAGATAATTACTTGATCACGCTACATACGTTTTTTTTCAGGATGCTGTGCTAGAGAAGCCAACAGGTGTGCAGGTGTCACGTGCAGCCAACATCATCTACGCTATCCTGCAGTACAGACGTGAGGTGGACAGGGAAGAGCTTAAGCCGGTAACTCACAGATGATGCTCTCAACTCATGTATAAACATACTTGATCCATGTACAGGTAGCCTGCAGGGGTTGAAAAATACCATTGCCCGACGCATACAAAATGAACTGGGTCAAGTTTCACGAGAATGTAATCATGTGATCATGTTACGATATTTCATTGGCTAATATTTTGTTAGTGTCACAGAATGGCAATCTAATTTGCATACAGTTACACCAGTCAACCAATGGGATTAATACACTTCGATGTCAGGCAGGTCAACAACAATGAGAACCAGGTTTGTTTCATTGATAGATCGTAGTAACACTTCCATATATGTCACATGCTTCTTGGAAATTGAATGATGGACAGTTGACTACATTTCTTGGAAATTGTTATGCGAGGTAGGTCTAGTGGTGACTTTAGAAGCTTCGCTTGGCCTAGCTTTGATGAAATATTTTATTTGAACACAAGTCACGGTAGAGGCTCACACGCTCTTGATCGCGAAAATGTTTTGACACATAAGTCAGGCCATAACAAATATGACTTTTAACGAGTCAAAATTATGGCATTTAAGATACAGTGATCCCTCGCTACAACGCTACCTTCGGGGTCCAAATTATTGATGAGCGTTTTGGATGATCAGTGATTTAACCGAGGTCGAGTTGTAGGGATTATACAAAATAGTATACATGCTCTGCCTACCTAACATGATCTACGTTGCATGTTTCAGAGTTTAAAATAAGATTAGAATAGAAGTTGTTTATGATTCATAGTGTAAAAAAAGATTTATCAAGTAATAATATGCTCTTTAAAAAAACCCACATCGTACCCAGTCAGCGAATTCAGGTAAATAAACAGGTATAACAAACTTGGTCAATACAAGTATGAAATATGATATTGATATTTGAATTTGATATTAACATCACTAGATGTTTACTATTTTAAATGCATTTCCCGCTCTCCAAGGCATTGTTTTATATGCAAAGATTAAGATTACCGTGTGTATTTTCTCTAAGCCGGAAATGGCAATCAGTTGTGCACACATTTCCTCCCAATATACTGGTGATTCAGTTAAAAAGAACACAATGATACAACTTCAAAGAATTTTGATGCAATGGTCGGAAGAAATTGTATCTTAAATTATTATTTTATTAGGAATAATATATTCCAATATCGTGTTATTTAAGTTGCAGTTTCCACTATATAAATAAAATTATAAGAACCATAAGCGTAGCACTTTGGTACAGTTGATGTGCAGGATATTTTTTTGCATATGGAACAATTTGACCAGTCACCGTAGGGACTTCACGCGCAACACGTATTTCGATTGCAAAAATGTTATGTTGACATTTAATAGTCAAACTGCCTCAAATATTACTTTTAGCTGGTCATGGAACGGCATTTCTGATATGTGTATCCATTCTCTTGCAACTAAAGTTCATTTCAAGGCTTCAATAGCGGTAATCTGACCGTGGTTGCTGTAAATAACAGTACCGATCTACAGATCACTTCGTATACGATTGGGCCGAAATTATTGTAAACATTATTATAATTATTGAATGAAATGTTTAATATGATTAATAAGATATATTGTAAACATTAGTCTAGATAAACAATGAACACATTATATTATATGATATTATAATAATAGGATTAAATTGCATACTTCAGTTCAGGTTTGTTGACTGGTACTTCCGGTGTTACGCGATCGCGGGGATCAGCTGATAATGTTTTCTGAAATGGGGGGGGGGGGACATTATGTCAGTTGAGTTTATTAAATATGTAAGTAAATTTTGGGAGCCATGCGTTACCGCACTATAACCAAGTTATCGCTATAATTGTACCTCCCAGTACACACTACCTTCACGATCTGACAAATTTTGTTTGTGTTATAGATATTGTTGAACAAGGCTATTCCACTGTGTTCTGCTCAGTACGAGAGGCAGTTCAACACCACACGTATTCCTGGCCTAGAAACAGGTGAGAACATCATAGTTTAGATTGTCAAGCAGACATACACCTTTTGTGGAAAAGGAGGTATCTGCGTACCATTGTCAATCTGTGATACCAAGACTTTGAGACTGATACACACAGTGAGATTTTGAAACAGACACTGTGACACTTTGAGATAGAATGTGAGATCTGTATCATCACTGAGACTGATATTGTGACCACTTTGAGACAGATACTGTGGAGTAATGACTGAGATTGACATTTGTGTTTCAGACACCCTGGTCCATCACAAGGACAGCAACCACGTCGCTGTGTATCACCGTGGCAGATACTTCAAAGTCTACATAAGGCATAAGGGCAGGTTACTCAAGCCCATACAAATTGAATCGTAAGTCTCCAGATATTGTGCTTTTGTTAAAAAAAATTGAAGAACTATTTTCATTGTTAAGTTGTGGTTAGCTCCTCCTGATTTAATTGTCTTGTGTCTTCCCACCGTATCTGATGACTGAATTTGTTAAAGACGTGAAGATCCCTTTTCTTGGATCAAGAAGTAACAACTGATATTCTGTCAGCCATAAGAAATTCTTTTGTTTATTGTCAAATTGTTGCAGTTTGATGTCAGTAGCTAGAGTCAAAGTTTTAAGAATTTGAAAAGTTGTATTTGCCAGTACGAATCATCAAGTAACACATGACTAAGTTGGTTTTGCTCCTGCGTCTTGTTACACCGCCATGGTCACAGCACTGACAGTTTACATTAGGCTGACCATATGCTACTAATTCATGAATATGGTTTGATCCTTCACAACAGTAACTCTCTGCAATTGGCACTGCATTTAGTTGCAATAATGAGCTATTTTAGGTTAGGTCTAATGTACCAATTTTGATAATCTCAGAAACATGAGAAAGCAATGGTAATGGGTACATTTTTCATCAGACCTTACACAATCTTGAGAAACATTTGGTGCTATTGAGTTACTATATGGTGGGATTGTGTTTCAGAATGCTGCAGAAGATAGTTGATGACAACACTGAGCCGTCATACGGTGAGGAGCATCTGGCTGCCCTGACTGCAGGGGAGAGGGTCAACTGGGCCAAGGCAAGGAAGGAATTTTTCACAAAGGGCAAGAACAAAGCTTCACTGGATGCTATTGAGAAGGTAGGTGTGGCACAATACCTTGGGGATGATGTAGTAAATGTGAGACTCAAGTGATGCTAGACATGCTAGATTCAATAGTGCAGCTTGTGTGTCGTCACACTTGAGGAGCTGGCAGGTACTGGGAGCCATCAATCCCAAATGCTGACCTGCAGACCACCTCCTCCAGTCACCTTGACCACTTGAGGAGAGGTCCATTTTAATCTGTTTGTGTTAGTAATCTGTGGTTATGTGGGATACATTGTGACATAGGTCATGGCACAAACAGGGTTAATTGTCTGTACTGCTTATGTATGCTTGACCATGTTATAATGTTTCCTCTATTTTCAGGCTGCCTTTTGTGTGACATTGGATGAGGAATCGCATGGCTACAACCAGGTGAGATGTTTTGAGTGTTGAAGATGAGTAATTGTGTAGGAAACCTCTCCAGGCCTTCATTCAGAGATGAAGAGTGCTAATGCTACACACCCACCAAGGCACCAATGCCAAACATATTGTTTGTGTTGTAGAATCTGTTCATTGTCATCATTGAAGTCTCTAAAATAAGAGTCTGTGATTCAATGATATCACAACATGCCAGATTTGATTCCATGGATTCTTGCATGACAAAGTAAGGGATGGGAAGTGTAGATTCTTGTTGTTGCTCCTGCTAGTTGCAGGTGTTTTTGTTTAATTACAGCAGCATCGTTATGTTGTAGAATGATCCAGCTAGTCTGGACAGGTTTGGGCAGGCTATGCTGCATGGTAAAGGCTGTGACCGGTGGTTTGACAAGTCCTTCACTCTGGTTGTGTGTGCTAATGGTCATGTAAGTAGTTGTTCAAGCTATTTTCATGAATATAATAACAATCAACTCTCTCTTTTTTCAAAACATATTCTTTGGTTTTAATTCTTTTGCCAGTGTTCCAGAGAACATAACACAAAAACTGTAATGGTTTTGATTATACATGTAATGTATACCAACGCTAGTAATTGTTTGTCTTTATTTCTCATGTGTAAGTGTAGACACCTACTGTTTCTCTGTATTGTCATCCTATTTGTGTCCACAGATTGGCTTCAATGCAGAACATTCCTGGTAAGTAGGACTGTGTGCTATGGTATCTGTGATACTGGAACACTTTAGAAATGCATGATCATTGTTGCACACTAATGTGCAAGGTTTATGCTTGTAATTCACTGAGGAACGTTCTGGTGTCAAGGAATCGCATGATTTTTGGACAACACAAAGTTCATGATCAGACAAACATCTACTTGTATACAATGACCAATCACTGACATTGAGCTACCTCCACGTGAAGATCAGGGTTAGAATTGGTCTTCAGCAACACAAGCTGGTCAGGTTCGCTGACTTAGTTGATGAATGTCATCATATCCAAATTGCTTAAATCGATGCTAATGATGTCAATCATTGGATTGTCTGGTCCAGATTGGATTATTAACAGACCACTGCCAGAAATCTGGAATATTCCTGAGTGTGGCTTTAAACAACAAATAAAACAAAACATTGAGCAAAATTAGACTATAAATTTGTATCAACTTATGTAAAAGTTTATATATCTATTTATTGTTATTTTATAGTGTTATGAATGTAGTTATATGTGTTATAGTGTTATGATATGTAAGTCTTGAAGTTGTGTAATTCTCTCTTTGATGTTTTTGCATCACAGGTAAGTGAACTGTCATCACCTGACATATGATTTTGTGAGTAAAAAACTCACATGTAAAGAACAAGGGGGATGCTTGAAATTTTGTCAGAATTTGGCCGCCACCATAGCCACACTTTGGTTTTGAAACAAGTCAGTGCTTGGACATCTCAGGGATGCCATGTCATGTATATCTCTTTAAGTAGTGGGGGCACGGGTGGCCCAGTCGTCTAAGGCGCCGCGATTCGCTGTGCAGAGTTGCGTCCCTTAGGCACGCCAGAAACCTATGATTGTGGGTTTGAATCCCGGTTCGCCCCGATTATGTTTCTAGGTTTGTCAGCACCATACCCGTGCTTGTGGGTTTCACCGAATTGGTAAACGTCTGAGACCTGCATCACTTCGGGCTTTCCTCCCACATTAAGCTGACACCCCGTGATATAACTGGAATACTGTTTAAAGCAGCGTTAAACCAAACTCACTCACTCACTCACACTCTTTAAGTCGTGGGGAAGTTTCTTGAGACATTGATCAGTTATGTCAAGAGTAAAAGTTTTCATCTAGACAATAACATCATTCACCCTCACTCGAGGTCATTGAAACTTGGTACACATCATCTTCATGGGATAAGGTTGTCCTCGATCTACCAATAATGTAAATGTCACAGTGGTGTCCATTCATAAAGTATGTTTATCATTTTCACTAAAATGCTTTTTTTGGCAGCTGATTTTAAAGACTTGTGGTTGTAGTGATGATGTGTTTTGAATACTTGCATATGACAAGTGATGACAGACATTAGTCATGGTTGATTTAAGTGATTAGCATATTACATGCTCTATTCTCATTGTTACCTCCATTGAATTTCCACCTAGGGATATCACATATATATTTTTTTTTTAATAATATGCTGTTAAGCATTTGTGAATGTTCCCGAAACTTGTGTTAGATAATGACAGTCTAATTAACTCCCAAGGACACATACTCAAATGAATCAGATGAAAATTGATTCATATCATCCTTTCGGAGGGGCATTAAGTGGGAAGGTTTTGACTTACCTTCATTGAAGGTCAAGGCCACTGGAGTTGTCATTCCTGAGGTAGTTCTGCTTCTTTGTGTATTAAACCAACCTCTTGTGTTGGTGTGACATGTTTGTAAAAATTAGCACCAACGTTTCTGACTGGAAAAGATAAAATATTGGTATGGCTGAAATTTAGAGACTAGCTAAGGAAATACACCAGAAGTGCATATAACCATATTTGCATGATAAGGGTAGCAAGAGGCAGGGTGTTATCTGATGTGAAGTCATCTTGCATTAGACATATCATTTTCCAAAGTGCATATATCTTGCTTATAAAGGAGGCAATATATAATCCTTCAAGCGTAGTTGCATATATCATTGTATATAGTTCATATTTAAGTAGTGAGAGAAATTTTTGGATTATTTAGGTAGTGTTTTCTCAGACCACAAGTAATGTCATTGGGCTCGACTGGAAATGCATTTAGGTTCTTCATAATGTTCATTAGCATCGAGGTACTTTTGATCTGGTGTGGTTGAAGTGGACGTGTGTTTCCCCAATCTGAAGGTAATAAGGGTATCAGACTCAAAAGCATGGTGACAGGCAATGATTTCTGGGGCCTTCTGGAAGTGATAAGGAAGGGGCTGCTTCTGTTTTTGCAGCTAGTTGTGAATGTGAAAAAGTGCCTACTAGATGGAAGGAAGGAGAGTTTGTGCTGGGGTGTGGACTGGAGTGTGACAGCTTTTTCAAGTGCTTGCTTATCTCCTACTTACCTGTAGAACTGGTCACATCCTTTGTCAGTACCCTGACCATAAACAGGAATACTTGTGAAGTTCTGTATACACAGAAATGAGAGATATTGGCATAGATCTACAGTCATTACTGGAGGATGCTTTGGAAGAAATATGTTCAAAACATTCTGAAACCATACGTCCGGAAGTATGTGTGTCTTCTGACAGTGAGCGCTGCAAGCGTAGACATTGGTCATATCTCTGACATGTTGAGCAAGTGTGTGCATGTGACTACATGAAAGCTAGATTTTAATTGCTTCAGATGCTTATTAGATTGCCATTCGTTAGGTCATAAGCCCATGTGTAACTCAGCAGTGGTCGATCATCATATCTGATATCAGTCACAAGAAGGGATTGTAAGAACACAGTTTATTAGTTCACTCTCTTATAGATGTTAGATATTAGCCAAACAAATGGTGTTATACAGCAGTATGATATTCCTGTTGTTGACTGGGTAAGTATTGCTTCTGGTGTCAGTGCCACCACCATCAGCAGCAGCTCATGTATCCTATCTTCTGACTGACTTCTCCTCCTGCAGGGCTGATGCCCCAATCATGGCTCATATGTGGGAGTACGCTATCAGTGATGAAGTACATTATGCAGGGTAACGTTTGTAACATCATTAGCACTTTCATCATCATTGTTATCACCTTGCTTACACGGTATCTGTATTGTTCTCCATCTGTCTGCTGGCTGCTTGTGACCTCCACTAGTTGCTTGGTGCATGTTGGCTGACTCAGCTGACAAAGTTGTCACCATGGTGACCTTGCTCATTTAGATGTGCCTATACTGTGAAGTATTCAATGCTGCCCTCGCTCTGGGAGATGTATTGAGACGTCTCGAAAGCCTCTAAGGGCTATGTCTTTTCCCAATGGCTCATCTACATGACAAGGTCACTATGCTCTCGGCTTCTATCATTTCAGAAATTGCATGTGGTTGACATAAGTTGCTTTGATGCTTATTGGTGTTTTTTATCACTTATGAATCTTGTGTTCTTTTTTTTATTGTTGTGTTGTCTTATTTGTTTCGTCTATTCCTTCCCTCCTCCACTCACTCCTCTGTGAACTAACCCTGTATATGTCCTGTCACCCTTATGTTGTGATGTTACCGTTTTGTGAAACGTGACAACAGGGCCGATGCACCCATCATGGGTCAGATGTGGGAAATGTTGCTGGCGGAAGTCTGGAACCACGGGTAACAAGGCTTGCTATGTCTGTGTAAAATTGCAACAGTAACCATGCTTACATTGATCCTTTTGTTAGTGGGAGGTCACATACTTTTAGTATGAAGTTGATTTGTCAACCCAGAAAGGAGAAAACAACAGAAAGCTGATTTTGTTGATCCTAGTGTCTACATATATAGTTGTGCCCCTGTGCATGTTCCAGCTTGTTGAACTGTGGAATAGACATTTCTAAAGACAAGTCAGGGCTGTACAACAGTAGCAGGAACAGATTCATTGCGATATGGCATTCTAACACATGAAACATTGCAACTTTTAAAAATCTGCATAATAATTATCATCTGAAGAGGCTCATGTGAAGTAACCTTTCAAATATGTATAAATAATAATTGATATATTTACTAATGAAACTTTCTTGTTTAACGCTAAAACTCAGTAAATTGTAAACATGATATTCTCGAGATGGATAATTTGGAATGTGTTCGCCAGGGTCATCTATGCTTTTTATTACTATGATCTAAATTAACAGGAAGAATGTTCTTATGCTATGTCGAACTGAGTGAAGTGTTAGGTGTAATTTATCAGTATTATTGTGTAACCTGACAGCAAAATTGTGATATGTTCCCGTGGTAAACCATAAGGAAGGGCTTCAGACAGTACTCAGCTGGGCCAGGCCTAGACAGGCTAGGATATGCCCAAGCACTACAGTACTGCAACAATGTAACAATTCTCTCCCAAGGTGACGAAACTGGTAGAGTAACCCAAGCTATAGACTAGGTTATATGTGTAGGTCCACATGGAGGAGTGTGTGCTAGAATTGTTAAGTTAGATATTGTCTTCATAACAAGAAAGTAAATCTTTTATTGATACAAAAAAGATTTTTTAGTTTTTCCCATTGGATACTTAATTTGAAACATGATGTTTGAGGCGTTTCACATACTGGCCTGAGGGTAGATTGCATGTGTCTCATTGGTGCTGACAAGCTTGCTGCTATTGAGATGTGAATGTTTACTCTGTTTACAGTTATATTTACAGTTATATGCACTCACAATCATCATACTCACTGTCACTGTTCACACATAACTAACCCGTCTAACATTACCCTAAGTGCTCAAGAGATTTAATTTTGTTCTGATTTCTCAAATTTTGGCTAAAATTGCTGTTTTTGAGATGAATTAATAATGAGTTGTTAACAGATAAACAGATTTAAGTGTAAATGTCAAGTTTCTAGTAATACTCTATATACCCAACTGTTTGGACATGACCCGCTGTGCAGTGATATGGATATGTACTTGTGTGTAGATACACAGCTGAAGGCAAGTGTGATGGTGATGCTGATCCCAACACCCCTAACCCCATCAGACTGGAGTGGGACATCTCTGAGCAGGTACTTGAGTTTGCCTCTGTTGTCTTGAAGGATGCTTTTGATATGTTTGACTGCCCAACATGATATGATGCCAGTATATAAATAAGTTTGTGGACTTGTGATTCAGTGCTGTCAATCACTGGATTGTCTGGTCAAGACTCGATTATTTACACACCGCTGTCATATAGCTGGAATATGGTGTGTGGTGTTAAACAACAAACAAACAAAAAATGATGATTCAGTGCCCATTTTTACCTGTCAGTAAGTCTTGTATACCCTATGTTCCTCCATCACCACATGATCACGAGTGAATACATCCAGCTGCTTTGCGGTGTTGTAGTCACAAGTGTCTGGTTTTAGTTAGCTAATGTAATAAGGCCTTTCACAAGTCATGGAGTTCCTTGAAGATCCGGGAATTGGTCTTCAGCAACTCATGCTTGTCACAAGAGGTGACAATGCTTGTTGTAGTAGGCGACTAAGGGGATCAAGTGGTCAGGATTGCTGATTTGGTTGATTCATGTCATCATATCCCAATTGCATAGATGTCAATCACTGAATAGTCTGGTTCAGACTTAATTATTTACAGACCGCTGTCATATAGCTGAGCCTGATGTTAAACAACAAACAAACACAATGGATTAAATGAGCCCGTTTACGAACATGAACATGAACCCTACCATTGCCTGGAATGCAGGTAGTGCAACTAGCAGATGGACACAAGGCTACACATGTTGCACACGTCATGTGAGGAACATTACCATTTCTGGGATGTAAACTGAGCACTCATTGGTCAGAGCACTTGCTGGCTACCCATTGGCTGTCTCTATGCCCTTGCTTGATTTCTTGGTTAAAGATAGCGACTAGACCGCAAAGTGATAGAGGAACATCGTGTCTCAGTCTTACATCTAGGCTGCAGAATTGTGTAAATTTCACATTTTTATCAGTTACCAGGTTACTAACACTACTATATACGAACATGTGAATCATTTGAGCAGATTATTTTGATTTTACATTCTTTTTTAATATCATAAACATTGCTTGCAAGAGTTAATACTTAATCAGGTTAATGACACTAAAAACCAACATGTTTAACATTCAGACAATATCCTTCTAACCTATGAATCTCCTAGGATAGCAAATTAGCTGACTTCATCATCATTGTGTGTCCAGCCATCCACGAGTGAGTAAGTTTGATTTTACGCCGCTTTTAGCAATATTCCAGCAATATCACGGCGGGGGACACCAGAAATGGGCTTTACACATTGTACCCCAGCCATCCATGAAAGGGAGCAGTATCTTTATGTCAATATCAGCAACCATCCGTTCCTGGACCTTCCAAGTTTGGGAAACAGATACGAAACAGTCAGTTCCAAATGTGTGGGTCATCAGTTATCACACTGTTGTTATGTGTTACATACAATTGCAGGCTAATGCAGTGATAGAGAACAGCCTACAGATGGCCCGACAGCTGATCAGTGACGTTGATCTGCATGTGCGCATGTTCAAAGACTACGGTAAAGGTTTCATCAAGAAGTGCAAGGTATCTCCTGATGCCTTCATACAGATGGCCCTGCAGCTCACATACCACAGGGTAAGCCTCATCTACATGATCTACGAGTAGCTCCAGAGCTCACATAACCCCATGTAGTCCTGCACCATGATTGTGGAATATATTTATTTTATTAAAAAAGTAATCTAGAAATGCATACAAAAGCAAGTCTAGCCAGCTCAAGCTAGCTCTATTCTATTCTGAAATCAGCATAGGGAATTTTTTTATATTTTTAGAGTCAAGAAGGATATTGTGTAATATAAGATTTCAGAGACTAAATGTTAGTCTAAACCCCATGGGGAATTCTCACAAGTGTTTTAGCTTGCTTTAAAAGTGAACTAAAACTGCGTAGTCAGGCTCTGTAACTTATCGGTTTGCATGTCATCATACCTCAATAGCGTTGATTGTTGCTAATGTTTATAGTCACTGGTTTGCCTGGTCCGGACTCAGTTATCAACAGGCTGTGGGGATATAGCTGCCATATAACAAACTGTTGCTTTCTCACTCACATAATACAGGATATGGTAAAGACTAGCTCTAAAGCTCAGTATATACTACCAGGTGAACCTCATCAGTGACTCGAGAGGCGTGGGTGGCCCAGTCGTCTAAGGCGCCGCGATTCGTTGTCCAGAGTTGCGTCCCTTGGGCACACCAGAAACCTATGGTTGTGGGTTCAAATCCCTGTTTGCCCTGATTATGTTTCTAGGTTTGTTAGCACCATACCCGTGCTTGTGGGTTTCACTGAAGTGGTAAACGTCTGAGACCTGCATCACCACGGGCATTCCTCCCACATTAAGCTGACACGCTGCGATATAACTGGAATACTGTTAAAAGCGGCGTTAATTCCAACTCACTCACTCACTCATCAGTAACTCCAGCTCACACAGAGTTCATCTGGTGTAGGCCCATACAGTTTCCTTTACCATTCAGTTGGAAATCTTTGGTGATGTCATTTTAGTGGATTTCTTTCAGTGGATAGTATTATTGACATAGTAAATATATGTTACAGTCTACCAACAAGTTCTGTCTAACTTACGAGTCCTCCATGACCCGACTGTTCCGAGAGGGGCGGACTGAGACTGTCCGATCATGCACTGTGGATTCCTGTGCATTTGTACGAGCAATGGATGACAAGAATAACACGGTAAGTATATTTATATCTATTGCTGTATCAGTGCCCAGAACCTACAAGGAAATTGTTGGACAGTAATAAGTATTTTCTGTTTCCCAGAATGCTGGACGTATCAAGCTGATGATGAAGGCAGCAGAGGTCCACCAGCAGGCGTATAGGGAGTGCATGACAGGACTTGGTATTGACAGGCATCTCTTCTGTCTGTATGTCGTCTCTAAATACCTTGGTGTCGACTCTCCATTCCTGGCTGAAGTTCTCAGTGAGCCCTGGAGGCTGTCCACCAGTCAGGTAAGCATGTGTCTATGCAAGTGTGGCAGGGATGTGTGTGAGGAGAATGCCCAATTTGTGTTGTCAGCATTGTAAATTTAAGGACACTATGAGAGTGTGTACATGTAGACATTGAAATGTGAGTGTTGTTTGCAGACACCTCATCAGCAGACAGACAAGCTGGACCTGAAGAAATTCCCAGACAGAATCTGTGGAGGTGGTGGCTTCGGGCCGGTATGTTATATCCCATATTACATGAAGTACATTATAAACCAGTTCCAAAGTTTATGTTGGAGAAAAGCCAGAAAAGAATATCTGTGATATGTAGAAATCTTGTCTGTGTATTCTTCTTTCAATTTCCACACATATAAGTTGTGTGGAAAAATACAAGCTTATTTGGTATATTTTATTAAGCATGTTTTATGTTACAGGTTGCTGATGATGGATATGGAGTGTCATATGTTGTGGCTGGAGAGGATACTATCTTCTTCCACATATCCTCCAAGAAGTCCTGTCCACTCACTGTAAGTGTAAGATGCTATGTTGGCTTTAGTCAGAGCTTACTGTGTATTCTTTTCAAAATGTACTTTCATTGGGAGGCAGCTGAAATAAATTAATGATGATCAAAAGGGACAGACAGTGCTGATAGTGCTTCAAAGATCGACTACAGTTTCAAGACAGTGTTAACTTTGTTAAATGTAACTGTTCCCTGTAGCATAGGTCAGCACCTCAACCGGCAGCCAAGATAGCACTGGGATACCAGCAACTGCCTTGTTCAAGCCTCTTTACTAACATACAATCTTGCTAACATTGTAATCTGTTATTACTTTCTGAATGTTGTCCACACAACAGACACTCTTTAGGAAATACCAGTCTCTGTTGGTTAAGTACCTAGGCTTTGGTTGATATGGTCTATCAATGTGCAGTTTGAGTTGAATTTCTTCCGCAACCCATTGCTAGAAAATTACACACTTTATACCTAATGAACAGTATCTGAAAAAAACCCCATTAAAACAATAAAATTGTTGCAACTGAAGATGAGAGATAACCCTTGAGAGTTATTTAAACACCACTTGCAAGAACAAACAAATACTGCCATGCCTTGTTGTCATTGTGACATGTGGCTATAGTTGGCAGACAACAGATAGATTGATATCACAGTATTTCATAACAAGACTGATCTGTCTGGCCTGTGTTTGACACTGTCTTATTCTCATTTGCAGAATTCTCAGAAGTTTGGCATTGAACTAAGGAAGTCCCTCCTGGACATGCAGAAGCTGTTTGTGAAAGAGGATTGACATAAGTAAACCAACTAGCTAGACCTCAAGCAGATACCTATACACACGACACTCCAGCCAACCACATGTCGAACATGAAGTGCCCTGATAGGCAGATGGGGTGTGTGTGTAGGTGAGATAGATCTGAAGAGCCATGTTTGACTGTGATGCAGTGACGATGTACAGGTGTTATATTTTATGTGTTGACTGTTTACCATGATTATCAAGGCTATCATTAGAACCACATGGTTTGGTGGATATTATGAAACATGCACATCAAATGCAAACTTTTTACTCAATACATCTTGTATAATCTTATTTTATTTGTCAGATGACATTTAACCAGAATATTCTGTTTGTGCATTGTGTGCCATGCCTCGATCAACAGTCTGCAGTGTTCTCAATGGCCTGGTCATACTCCAGGTCAGGGGAAGTAACTCTTACTATCTTACCAGAACCCAACTGGTGCTACTTTCCTGTCAAACATATCTATGTCCATCATGGTAGGAATTTATTTATCCCAGTAAGTAGAACGCATTCTGCCATGAATATCTGCCACTTGCCTCAAATATGTATGGCATCGATAAAACCCTTTATCCCAGTTTTAACACACTCACTGCTTTAATACTTTTATTGTCAACATTGACATGAAAGTCCTTTCTTTTTTATATAACATGTTTAACAAAACAAATATTTTAATGGCCATTTTATCCTGTTTCATTTAAATTATCATTTTCATGTAGATACTGTCACGAATGTCCATGTCGAGTTTTAAGTTTACTGAATTACATTTCAAATTTTCCTTTTATTCTTTATGAAAACACATAAAATTTAACAGATCATTTGTATATTTCAAAGAAATGTTTTAATTGTACATATTGGTGTGTGATGTAGTGAGAGTGTTCACTCATAATTTGTAGCATAATGTATCACTTGACTCTCTGGGTTTCTCTCTACCTTCCTTTTGGCTATGGGGTTGTTAGCATAATCAGTTACGGACAAGGTATATCTCAGATGGCTAGGTGTCACATGTTTACTGTCCATGGAGTGTCTAAATAGATCTCATGTTTATCATATCTTCTGTTCCAAGAGAGGGTAGATGGATAACAGACACTGATATATTGTCAGATCATATCAAGGTGCTTTTGGAAAGTACTGCTCGAGTGAAACTTGAAATGTATATATTTCTTAAAGGATATGCCATGCATATTGATACCTGGTATTCGAAAATTTAATACCAAAGCACATATTTAGTTTTATTTACCTAAAAAATACAATAAAAATGTTCATGTTTAAAACAATTGTAGGAAAGAAAAAAATCTTTAAGATACTGTTATCCAAATACTACAAAACTGTGACCCTGTTACTGACGGGGATGAGAACAGCAGTTGTTGCTCTGATACCTGGCTGTGACATCATCATCATCATTATCTTTATTTCATCATCATCATCATCTGTATGTTCAAAATTTATGTTTCTGTTTGTATGCACTGTTTCCACACAGGTACAACTTTTATTCTTCTGCTTTAGGCAGTGGTTGATTTTAGTTAATTTATTGAAGAACAAACATACAGTTATAGTTTTGTGAAAATAAAGAGGTGTACTATGTCATGTGCATTGTGTTTGTATGGCCTTACAAGTTATTGGTCTTCAGCTGTAATATTTCCACACACACAACTTAAACCTGTGTTGACCTAATAATGCAGGATTATGTAGTTGGTATGCTTGATTTGTGACGGGTCAGTTGATGGTAGTCATCTGCTTGTTGCATCCCTTATCCATGCTAGATTGTTGGTTTGCTTTCAAGGTTTCCAAATTTAAGCCTTACCAATATGTTTTTGTTTGACACAAGTGAGGCTTTCCTCCTAGTATAAGTCTGACACTCTGAGAAATAACTGAAATATTGTTCAAAGCAACATCAACTCAACTCAATCACATTCCATCTACTTATTTGACTACATGTATTTTGGTCAGGTAAGCAATAAAGTATTTCTTAACACAGGACCATGCATGTAACTCCAGGGTCCAGATCTGGTACTAAAACAGAATATAGTACCTGGCTTGAGCAACCCAGACTCATGGACACTTCTAAACAAACAGTACATCGAGCACCCTAGTTCAGGCAAATATTCAATTTGGATATAGCACATTCATAATATATACCTATGCAAAAGGGAAAAAAATTAAGCACCACCAAAATCAAAATGATGTTTCGATGCTCATGATGTCAATCAGTGGGTTGTCAGGTCCAGACTCGATTATTACAGACCGCCGTCATATAGCTGGAACATTGCTGAGTGCGACGTTAAACAACAAACAAACAAACCAGAATGGGGTTGGTGTGTAGCATGACCTTCCATAAACAGAAAACAAATTCTTTATGAAGTGTAAATAATATACTTTCATTGTGTGGAGTAGGGAGTATAATAATACAGTATATTAGAAATTTGATTTACAAGGTACATTTACAAATCTTTATACGAACTCAACTTTCATACACGTTTTCAGCAGAACCTGGAGAACATGAAGCCATTGATAAAATGTTAAATGATAATGCATGATTGTCATTCAAAAAGAGCCAGTGAAGGCAACGTGTTTCTGCAGCCTGGGCACACTCCCCAGCGACTTCTGTGAGGACCGCCGTTGTGACGGCATCAGCTGCAGACGTTGATGTTCCACCTCCACGCTACGGTACAGGCGGTAAGCTTCATGTTCATCATACAGCACGTCGTCGTAGAGACGCACGCGCACACGTTCTTCTTCGAATATTAGACCTTGATGCAACAAGTGGATTTTGATTGCGTCATCGGCCAGTGTGAAAACCCATAGACAGGCACCGTCGGTGTTTTCCACTCCCAGGTGGACGTAGAGCGGATCAAACATGAGGGTTTTAACGGAAGTACCTAGCTGGTTCTCCAGAATCTTCTTGATTTCCTCGTGTGAGAAGCTACGTTTGTTCTTCAGACAGAAACACAGGGCATGTGGTGCGGGTGGCGGCAACTCTCGCCGCATGCGTATGATTGGCAACTTTGATTTCTTCCGTTTATGCGTCTTCTTGACGTCGTCTATGAACGCCTTTTCTTGGCTTGGTGACAGCTCTGGCCTGTTGTCCATGTCAGATCTGTAACACAACATGAATAGTTTCATCACAAGTTTGTTTTGTTTGTTTATTGTTTAACGACGCACTCAGCAATATTCCAGCTATATGACGGCGATCTATAAATAAACGAGTCCTGACAATCCAGTGACTGACATCATGAGCATCGATCCACGCAATTAGGATATGATGACATGCATCAACCATGTCAGCGAGCCTGACCAGCCGATCCCGTTAGTCGCCTCTTACGGCAAGTATGGGTTGCCGAAGACTTTGAGGGTATCATATAAGTCTCAGATATAACTAAAGGGGCACGGATGGCCCTGTCGTAAAAGACGCAACAACTTGCTATACAGTTGTCACTTATACGTTCCAGGATCTGGCGATCGGGGACGGACTGCCAGATATCCTAGTTCTGTCAGCACGTTACCTATGCTCCTTGGTTTAAATTACGAGGGGCGGTCGGGTAGCCTAGTGGTTAAAGCATTCGCCCGTCACGCCGAAGACCCGGGTTCGATTCCCGACATGGGTACAATGTGTGAAGCCCATTTCTGGTGTCCCCCGCCGTGATATTGCTGGAGTATTGCTAAAATCGGCGTAAAACCAAAGTCACTCACTCACTTAAATTACGACCTCCATCACTTTTTGATTTCCTTCGACGCCATGATGTTTCTGAAGTTCACAGCAGCGTAAGCCTAACTCACTTCGAAGCAATTCATCGTGTGAAAACATACATGTTACGAACAGGATGTTACTTAAATTAAAATTGAAGAGTGTTGTATATTGCAAAAGAAGCTGTACCACACTGAAGGGTCGCCTGTACTGTGCCGCTGGCATTGACAGAAGCGACACAAACCCGAGTATTAAAGGCCTTGGTGAACGTGAGATGCTTAACAATAAGCTTCAGACCATGAATGTAAACTGGCCAATCCCACGTCCTGTCTTACAGTAAAATACGGAATACACACATCGGATTCTGCCACAGGTGGTCAATTATACGGGCGCAGACCGTGGCTTCTGTTTAAGGTGTTATAACGGACTTACGTTACACCTCATAAACGACAAAATCAATATAACTACCCGCCCGGCCACTTCATATTGGAGAAAAACTAAATGACGCCAGGTCGTCATAGCGACACATATCGACACCCACATTCGTTATTTCTACTCTCCATGGACCGTCAGTGTGATACATCTTAATCACTGCCAACCTTGCTGGTCGTGCCCGACGTGACCTTGACCCCGTAAATTCACGCTTCCTTTCCTCAATCGGTGGTAAGATCACGTGGTAACGACGATGAGACGACGCAACGAGGCGACTAGGCGTGGTGCTATTGTCTGGTTTCCATGACAACTGGTACCTGGAAGCTACGGATGGTATGGCGACCTTTCGTCTCGTGGTCCGTGCGTCCGTCAGTCTGTTGAGAGTGCTAAAGGCGGGAGTGGGAAACTACTGACTTGGCGACTTCTAGTATGTTATCAGAGAGCATTAAGTATCACCAGCAATAATGTTTTGAACGGTATATGGGCCGCTACAAGCCGCTAGCACCATTGTCCAGAATATATTTTAAGGAAATATTAAACAAGCTACATATAGTAGCTATTACCATTAACATATTCATCTGTTATCTTATATTCCACTTATTTTGAAATCTGTTAATGTTACCAACGTTCATTGTTCAAGTTTTTACTTTAGAAATCAAACAGGATAGTAAAAAATGACGATGCTAGTAAGATTCAGTAAGATATTAGTGTTAATGAATATTGACTCATTGAGGCAGTATGCATTCCGTTATAGTGTTATACATGGAGGCAGTATACATACCGTTATAGTGTTATACATGGAGGCAGTATACATGCCGTTATAGTGTTATACATGGAGGCAGTATACATGCCGTTATAGTGTTACACAGCGAGGCAGTATACATACCGTTATAGTGTTATACATGGAGGCAGTATACATTCCGTTATAGTGTTATACATAGAGGCAGTATACATACCGTTATAGTGTTATACATGGAGGCAGTACACATGCCGTTATAGTGTTATACATGGAGGCAGTATACATACCGTTATAGTGTTATACATGGAGGCAGTATACATGCCGTTATAGTGTTACACAGCGAGGCAGTATACATACCGTTATAGTGTTATACATGGAGGCAGTATACATTCCGTTATAGTGTTATACATAGAGGCAGTACACATGCCGTTATAGTGATATACATGGAGGCAGTATACATGCCGTTATAGTGTTTTACATAGAGGCAGTATACATACCGTTATAGTGTTATACATGGAGGCAGTACACATACCGTTATAGTGTTATACATGGAGGCAGTACACATGCCGTTATAGTGTTATACATGGAGGCAGTATACATGCCGTTATAGTGTTATACATGGAGGCAGTATACATGCCGTTATAGTGTTATACATGGAGGCAGTATACTTGCCGTTATAGTGTTATACATGGAGGCAGTACACATACCGTTATAGTGTTATACATGGAGGCAGTACACACGCCGTTATAGTGTTATACATGGAGTACACATGCCGTTAAAGTGTTATACATGGAGGCAGTACACATACCGTTATAGTGTTATACATGGAGGCAGTATACATGCCGTTATAGTGTTATACATGGAGGCAGTATACATTCCGTTATAGTGTTATACATGGAGGCAGTATGCATTCCGTTATAGTGTTATACATGGAGGCAGTACACATATCGTTATAGTGTTATACATGGAGGCAGTACACATGCCGTTATAGTGTTATACATGGAGGCAGTATACATGCCGTTATAGTGTTATACATGGAGGCAGTATACTTGCCGTTATAGTGTTATACATGGAGGCAGTATACTTGCCGTTATAGTGTTATACATGGAGGCAGTATACATTCCGTTATAGTGTTATACATGGAGGCAGTACACATGCCGTTATAGTGTTATACATGGAGGTAGTATACACGCCGTTATAGTGTTATACATGGAGGCAGTATACATGCCGTTATAGTGTTATACATGGAGGTAGTATACACGCCGTTATAGTGTTATACATGGAGGCAGTATGCATTCCGTTATAGTGTTATACATGGAGGCAGTACACATGCCGTTATAGTGTTATACATGGAGGTAGTATACACGCCGTTATAGTGTTATACATGGAGGAAGTATACATTCCGTTATAGTGTTATACATGGAGGCAGTATACATGCCGTTATAGTGTTATACATGGAGGCAGTACACACGCCGTTATAGTGTTATACATGGAGGTAGTATACACGCCGTTATAGTGTTATACATGGAGGCAGTACACATGCCGTTATAGTGTTATACATGGAGGCAGTATACAAGCCGTTATAGTGTTATACATAGAGGCAGTACACATGCCGTTATAGTGTTATACATGGAGGCAGTATACATTCCGTTATAGTGTTATACATGGAGGCAGTACACATGCCGTTATAGTGTTATACATGGAGTACACATGCCTCTATAGTGTTATACATGGAGGCAGTATACATACCGTTATAGTGTTATACATGGAGTACAGATGCCTCTATAGTGTTATACATGGAGGCAGCACACATGCCGTTATAGTGTTTAACATGGAGGCAGTACACATGCCGTTATGGTGTTATACATAGAGGCAGTAGATGACATAGTCAGGGAGCCAACGTTTAACAGTGGACTAGCTAGGGCACTTATCCCCATACACGTGTGACATGCTGTCAGTCTAGTCAGGGAGCCAACCTTTGACAGTGGACCAGCTAGGGCACCTATCCGCATACACGTGTGACATGCTGTCAGCCTAGTCAGGGAGCCAACATTTGACAGTGGACTAGCTAGGGCACTCTATCCGCATACACGTGTGACATGCTGTCAGCCTAGTCAGGGAGCCAACCTTTGACAGTGGACCAGCTAGGGCACTCTATCCGCATACACGTGTGACATGCTGTCAGCCTAGTCAGGGAGCCAACCTTTGACAGTGGACCAGCTAGGGCACTTATCCCCATACACGTGTGACATGCTGTCAGTCTAGTCAGGGAGCCAACCTTTGACAGTGGACTAGCTAGGGCACTCTATCCGCATACACGTGTGACATGCTGTCAGCCTAGTCAGGGAGCCAACATTTGACAGTGGACTAGCTAGGGCACTCTATCCGCATACACGTGTGACATGCTGTCAGCCTAGTCAGGGAGCCAACCTTTGACAGTGGACCAGCTAGGGCACCTATCCGCATACACGTGTGACATGCTGTCAGCCTAGTCAGGGAGCCAACCTTTGACAGTGGACTAGCTAGGGCACCTATCCCCATACACGTGTGACATGCTGTCAGCCTAGTCAGGGAGCCAACCTTTGACAGTGGACTAGCTAGGGCACTCTATCCGCATACACGTGTGACATGCTGTCAGCCTAGTCTGGGAGCCAACATTTGACAGTGGACTAGCTAGGGCACTCTATCCGCATACACGTGTGACATGCTGTCAGCCTAGTCAGGGAGCCAACCTTTGACAGTGGACCAGCTAGGGCACCTATCCGCATACACGTGTGACATGCTGTCAGCCTAGTCAGGGAGCCAACCTTTGACAGTGGACTAGCTAGGGCACCTATCCCCATACACGTGTGACATGCTGTCAGCCTAGTCAGGGAGCCAACCTTTGACAGTGGACCAGCTAGGGCACTTATCCCCATACACGTGTGACATGCTGTCAGCCTAGTCAGAGAGCCAACCTTTGACAGTGGACCAGCTAGGGCACTCTATCCGCATACACGTGTGACATGCTGTCAGCCTAGTCAGGGAGCCAACGTTTAACAGTGGACTAGGTAGGCCAATTATCCGCATACACGCGTGACATGCGGTCATGAAGTTCTTGGGAGTACTTTTCTCTAAAGCTAAAAACTTAGTGACTGCTCGGAACTCATTTTCTTTTCCATTTCTGTGTCTATTTGGAGCCCTATCACATTCAACTGGCTGTCACTAATATACAAACGGCCTCAACAGACCAAATACACTTGCAATGAACTACTCAAACAGTGTACTCAATGACTAGTTCACTTTGTTATGGCCCATAGTTGAAAGTTAGTCAGGCCTTAACATTTTTTTTGACCAGCCCTCGTATGTAGCTGACTGTAAAGTCAAGAAATCGGGATAGTGAGCGTTCATATTCAGTTTAATCCAAGAAGGGGTGGTCGGGTGCCTCGTGGTTAAAGCGTTCGCTCGTAACGCCGAAGACCCGGATTCGATTCCCGACATGGGTACAGTGTATGAAGCCCATTTCTGAGTCCCCCGCCGTGATGTTGCTGGAAAATTGCTAAAAGCGACATAAAACCATACTCACTCACTCACTCACTCACTCACTCACTTTCTGACGGTCACCATGGAGCAGTCTGATTTCGTTCCTCACTCAACTTAATCCTATAGCTTCATCACATGACACTCCTATGCGAGAGAGTTCTATGGGAAGTTACTGATAGAAGGGGTGAGGATGACGTTGTGCCTGCACAACTCCATATCCGGTACCGACATACAGGCATACAGTACCGACATACAGGCATACAGTACCGACATACAGGCATACAGTACCGACATACAGGCATACACTGCCGACATACAGTACCGACATACAGGCATACAGTACCGACATACAGGCATACAGTACCGACATACAGGCATACAGTACCGACATACAGGCATACTTTACCGACATACAGGCACACAGTACCGACATACAGGCATACATCCACACAACACCGAGATGAAGGCACACAGACACACATACAGCATTCTTTACCGACATACAGGCATACATCCACACAACACCGAAATGTAGGCACGCATACACACATACAGCATACTTTACCGACATACAGCCACACAGTATCGACATACAGGCATACATCCACAAAGCACCGAGATGTAGGCACGCAGACACACATACAGCATACTTTACCGACATACAGGCATACATCCACACAACACCGAGATGTAGGCACGCAGACACACATACAGCATACTTTACCGACATACAGCCATACATCCACACAACATCGAGATGTAGGCACGAAGACACACATACAGCATACTTTACCGACATACAGGCATACATCCACACAACACCGAGATGTAGGCACGCAGACACACATACAGCATACTTTACCGACATACAGGCACACAGTACCGACATACAGGCATACATCCACACAACACCGAGATGTAGGCACACAGACACACATACAGCATACTTTACAGCCATACGGCCATACAGTATACCGACATACAGGCATACATCCACACAACACCGAGATGTAGGCACGCAGACACACATACAGCATACTTTACCGACATACAGGCACACAGTACCGACATACAGGCATACATCCACACAACACCGAGATGTAGGCACGCAGACACACATACAGCATACTTTACAGACATACAGCCATACAGTATCGACATACAGGCATACATCCACACAACACCGAGATGTAGGCACGCAGACACACATACAGCATACTTTACCGACATACAGGCACACAGTACCGACATACAGGCATACATCCACACAACACCGAGATGTAGGCACGCAGACATACATACAGCATACTTTACAGACATACAGCCATACAGTATCGACATACAGCCATACAGTATCGACATACAGCCATACAGTATCGACATACAGGCAGGCAAGGAGTACAGTAAGTATCATAATCACGCAGCATGTAAATCTGATATTTCTCCTTACACGGGGTTTGCCATGATATTCCCGGGGTTTACGTTTTTTAGTCTTAAGGCAACACGTGTACACGTGTTTCAGGGTCAGACAATGTTAGTCAGACAATGTTAGTCAGACAAAGTTAGTCAGACAGTGTTAGAGGGGAGAACGTATGGTGCAGGGTGCATGTTACCAATGTGTCACATATCCTCATGCTACTCACGTGTGTGCTGAAAATACGCTGAAATATTGTCCCATATTGTCACACAGCGTCAAGGAAAACGGAAAAGTTGTCAACATTTGTACACACAGCGATACGACAATGGAACTTATTGTCCCGACTCAATCATTATATATTCTAAAGTGTAATATAGGAACTTCGCCTATCTCGAAATACGGTTAACTCGATATAATGTCATTGGTCCCCAGGACGAGTTACGATTATCGTAGTGTTATTTCATTGACCTCATATGTAATGTTATTCTGGCCACCAAGTCACGAACTTAAATGTCGTATTCACGCCACATCATTGAGGGCATCGGGAGGTGTATATATTACACTGTCGGACAAAACAAAGTATACATCCATCTTTGATGGTGGCTAAAAATGACACAAACAAAAAATATTTATTCGATGGTGATGTTTTGGATAAGGGTTTCATAGTTATGTTTTGGACCTTATTTTGTACTGTTTCGGTTACTGTTTTCAGCCAAGGAAGGTTTGTAATTTTTTGTAACTTTTGTAATTGTTTCATAAATTCCATTTTTTAAGTGTATACTTTCTTTTGCCCGGCAGTTTATTATACATGATGTGGGGATTCCGGGTTAGAACTGGTCCCCCAAGACTCTAATAAGCGACATATTGACCGGGTCTTCAGGCTCTTGATTGCACGTATCGTACGTGGATCCTTGCATATATAATCACTGGATTGTCTGGTCCTGATTCGATTATTTACAGGCCGTTGTCATAACTGGAATATTTGCTGTGCGGCGTTTAAAAAAACCCATATGAACCTACCTTGAATCAGGATCATCCCGGCGCAGTTGAGATAGAACGTCCATGACTGGAGCCGACATGTGTCTGTCAGCCAGTTGCGCTGGGGTGTGGCCCCGGCCCGACATGGGCCTGTGGGAGGCTGTCCTCCTGGGGTCAAGCGCCGACAACCCACTGTCCCAAGGCTCTGGACTCTGGGATGAGTTTAGTCCCCGAAATGACGAAGTCGGAAATCCGAGATTAAGTAGTCGACGGTAGGAGTTGTCTATGGAGACCCCGGGGGGTAGGGGGAGTTGTGGCGGGGGGTCGTCCAGGTTGATGAGCACAACCTCCTCCTGCACGTGACTCTCTTCCTGGTCCGGGGACGCTGGGTGCTGGGACTGTTCATGAAGACTCAGCTTATGGTCCGTTGGGCCGGGAAGCAACTGCCACCGGAATGACTTCAGAGTGGGGTCGAATGACAGGACCCCGCGATATCCGCTGACTGTCTGACCCTCAAGGGGTTTACTTGGCTGGAATGGCTCGCTTTGACTGTGAACCATTTCCTTGGGCCTGGTATAAGGGACTCTGGCCGCAGGATCTCCTGTCAGGTTGACCCTGGACAGCGGTAGAGGGGTCATGTCTGGCGTGACCCGGGTCTTGTAGAATGTGGACAGCCGTCCACTGTCCGTCTTGATGAGGATGAGGGCTTGGCTGGACGTCGGCATCTGTAACGACACACACGTAGACTACATGCCTAAGAACGACAGCAAAATGCACTATCTAGCTCCGTGGTTCATGGAGGTCACTGCGACAATGACGTGACGTCATAGACAGAAAAGCACTATAGTGACGTCATGTTCAAGTGACAAATGATGATCTTGCATTCTGTAACTCTGTTTAACTGTGTGCCGTTGTACAGAGCGATCTTAGTGCTAAGGTGATCGTAACTCCCATACCTTAACATAGACGTACGACAGTCGTAGCGCTGAGGTCGTAACTCCCATACCTTAACATAGACGTACGACAGTCGTAGCGCTGAGGTCGTAACTCCCATACCTTAACATAGACGTACGACAGTCGTAGCGCTGAGGTCGTAACTCCCATACCTTAACATAGACGTACGACAGTCGTAGCGCTGAGGTCGTAACTCCCATACCTTAACATAGACGCACGACAGTCGTAGCGCTGAGGTCGTAACTCCCATACCTTAACATAGACGTACGACAGTCGTAGCGCTGAGGTCGTAACTCCCATACCTTAACATAGACGTACGACAGTCGTAGCGCTGAGGTTGTTTTGTACAACGGCACCCTTTTTCTAAATAATCAAGGCTATTTCAGGGGCGGTCGGGTAGCCTAGTGGTTAAAGTGTTCGCTCGTCAAGCCGCTGACCCGGATTCGACTCCCGACATGGATACAATGTTTGAAGCCCATTTCTGGTGTCCCCCGCCGTGATATTACTGGAATATTGCTAAACGCGGCCTAAAACCATACTTACTCACTCACTCACTCAAGGCTATTTCAAATGACTTTTTTGTTCAACGCCGACATTATGCTATAGCCTTATGACGGTGGTTTATAAATAATGGAGTCTCGACCAGACAACCCAGTGATTGACATGATGAACATCGATCTGCGCGATGACATACATCAACCAATTAATTCAGCGAGGCTGACCATTCGTTCCATTTAGTCGGCTTTTACGACCAGCAAAGATTGCTGGGGACCAATTCTTACACTCTGCACCGGTTCCCTAATTAATGAACTATAAATAATGGAGTCTCGACCAGACAAGCCAGTGATTGACATCATGAACATCGATCTGCGCGATGACATACACAAACCAATTAATTCAGCGAGGCTGACCATTCGCTCCATTTAGTCGGGTCCTAGGACCAGCAAAGATTGCTGGGGACCAATTCTAACCTCTCTGCACCGGTTCCCTATAGCTAATTAATGAACTCGTACGACGAGCAATGGGGCTCTGGGGATACATTGTACCCCGGGTGCAGTATGGGCCTGTATGTTACTTCGTTACATTCATTGCTATCACGATGTGCCAGATGACCATACCTGATGACCCAAATAAAACATAGTAGTGAAACTCCGCGGCACTATACATATATGCATGGTCAATGCATTTATTATACACCAAAATATCATTGAACGCACGTTCACAAAATGTGGACGGTTGCAATAACACACTATAACAAAGCTAGAGAACAAAGTTGAGAGAAACGTACACTTTTCATTCACTTATAGGGGCGGTGGGGTAGTCCAGTGGTTTAAGCGTTCGCCCGTCACGCCTAAGGCCAGGGTTCGATTCCCCATGGGTACAATGTGTGAAGTGTCCCCCGCCGTGATATTGCTGGAATATTGCTAAAGCGGCGTAAAACCATAGCGATTTTACGATCAATCAATCAATCAATCATTCAATCATAAACTTACAAATATTTTATAGAACAATAACAGCAGTGCCTTATTAACTGTGAGATTGGCATTCTAGGAGTTGGTGAGTAAGTATAAGAAAACGTACAACTTTGAGGATGACAACTTCTTGTTTATTTCATATCGCGACACCGTTATCAAGCTGGAGGTTCTAATAAGTGGGGGCAGTCGGGTAGCCTAGTGGTTAAAGCGTTCGCTCGTCACGCCGAAGACCAGGGTTCGATTCCCGACATGGGTACAATGTGTGAAGCTAATTTCTGGTGTCCCCGGCCGTGATATTGCTGGAATATTGCTAAAAGCGGCGTAAAACCATACTCACTCACGCACTCACTCACTCTAAATAAGTGCCTTATATTTACATCAAGTAAACAAATTGTTGAAAACCATTAATGTAAACTGTGCAAGATATTTTATTTTGCACTTAATGTAGTTTGGCCGGAGGTCTTATTTTGAATAGAATAACTGACTATAACACGCATTATGCTGACGTTGCTGTGTCTATATTTAAAGAGTTCAGATTCCTGTAGTGGCAAATTAGAATCGCCAGTCTCGTTCTGTCAGCTTGAGTGACGGGGCGGCTGATGTGGTCTGACGAATACAGCCCTCCATGGACGGATGACTTCAACTACATAGATCGCATCACTTCATCACTTCATTGACTTACTTGTCGCTGTCACAACTTATGCTTTTGTTTGTTTGTTTGTTTGTTTGTTGTTTAACGCCGCACTCAGCAATATTCCAGCTATGTGACGGCGGTCTGTAAATAATCGAGTCTGGACAAGACAATCCAGTGATTGACATCATGAGCATCGATCCACGCAATTGGGATACGATGACAAGCATCAACCAAGTCTGCGAGCCTGACCACCCGATCCGGTTAGTCGCCTTTTATGGCAAGCATGGGTTGCTGAAGACCTATTCCATCCCGGATCTTCACGGGTCCACAACATATGCATGTGTATTGAACTTCACAATAATTTCGTTTCGAGACACCGATTTTATTCCATGGATATTTCATGTAAATAAACCCCTCACACCTGACACCCGACCGGATCCACTCACCTGTAATTAAGCAGCAGGTAACATAGAGGCCAACTGTTTATCCAAATCGCATCCTGTAGTTGAGCGTGAAACGTTAGTATCACAGTTCTTCTTATACCCGTCGTTCGCTTTTTGGAACATGAACATAAGATACTATGTTTACAATCTGCGTTGAAATCAAATATCAAACAAACCGCACACCTACACCCTAGACATCATCCGCTCACCTGCAATTAAGCGACAGGTAACATTTACATCAACACACTCTCACCTTGTCGCCCTCACTTGAAGTTGAGTCCGGTCTTAAAAGTTAGGACAACTTGTGTACATTGCTGGCACTCCACCTGCTGTAAAGTTTATGGTGGAGCTCCTCAATGGTGGAGTGGGAGAGCAGTTATTCCCCGTCACCCTAGTTTCCAGAGAAGTCCTGTATAACTCCTTATTGGGTCCCTCGCCAGGAGGCGGCTCACGGTGTGATCGCTATTTAATGACGGTCGGACATTAACACCACATTAAGCACAGAAGGGATAATGTATTCATCTGTGTTATTGATTCCCACTTTTTGCTGAACCCTGTCATCAGTGAGGACTTGTCTGCTGTGGGCGATCCGTGACGCCTGATTACCTGATGGTACAAACCGAGAGTTACATGTGCTGTCTTTGTCCTACAGTCCAGCCGTCCTAAACTATTATATCAGTTACCCTCACCTTGAGGACAATAGCCTGTACAAGTGACAATCTCTTTCAAACCGACCACTGTTCTTGGGGGGGTACGTGGCTGTGGGACGTCAGTCAGAGAGGGGATATAGTTTCTGTTACTGCTTCAAGACATTTTGTTTCCGTAAAAGCAGGAGTCCAACATGTTGAAAGGAAAGTTTTAGACAAATCCCACAATAGCAAAAGGCCAGTTCCTAAACATCACTAGAAGTCTCACTGTCTTCACTAAACTGCCGGACAAATGAAAGAATACATTTGAAAACTGGATTTGACCCCCAAAATACAAACGTTAACAGAACGTTACGAGGCTGAAAACTCTCGTCTTAACGCTGTAAACTTTATGTGAGTGAGTGAGTCAGGTTTTACGCCGCATTTAGCAATATTCCAGTAATATCACGGCGGAGAACATCAGTAATGGCAAACTTTATGTCCTAAACACTACTATGATACCCGTATCAAATACATCACCTTCGAATTACTATTCCTTTTTTTTTTGTAGCCACCATATGCTTTCTATTGCCCGGCGATCCGTGGAGGTCCGGGGTAGACCCATGCTTGCCCTAAAAGACGACCATGCTTGTCGCAAGAGGCGACTAACGGGATCGGGTCGTCAGGCTCGCTGACTTGGCTGATGCATGTCATCGGTCCCAAATGCGTGGATCGATGTTCATGATGTCAATCACTGGATTGTCTGATCCAGACTCGACTATTTACAGACCGCCGTCATATAGCTTGAATATTGCTGAGTGCGGCGTTAAACAACAACAACAACAACAAAATTAATCCTCTGCCAAGCAGTTTGTGTTGTAATATTGTATAGGTATGACTACTGAAGGAGCGAAAAGGAAGCAAGACTGACCAAATAGACTGTCGAGCAAATAGATTCTGAAATGGCGAGACTCCATGACACCCATCGTCGATTATCCATTGTACCACCATTCTATTAGTATTAATACTTAAGTATTCGACTCGAACTCAAAACGAATCTGGTGGTGAAAGGGTCCAGGGTAGTAATCATAACAGAATGAAGATATTATACCCTGGATACTCGAGGATGCACGACCCCACACGACGCATCATCTACGCTGTTACAGACGACAGCGTTTGTTTCACCCAGCCGCCAGACAAAACCATTGGGTCAAACAGTCAGTCAGAAATGATAAAACAGTATTTTACTCAACAGGCCCAGACGTCATCAGTTCAAGGGAGGCAATTCGTGATAAACCTCGTAATTGTACGAAGATATTCTGTGTTTTTCTTAAACGATCTTTTTTCGATGACGGATGTTGGGATAATAGTTTGAATTTACAGAAAGTGAAAAGAATAGAGAGGAAACTTAGAATTATATGGTAGTCGGTAAAATGAGATTGGTCGTTGTCATTTCCATGATCTTGTGGGGGCGGCGGGGTAGTGCAGTGGTTAAAGCGTTCGCTCGTCACGTCGTAGGCTCAGGTCCGATTTGCCACATGAGTACAATGTATGAGGCCCATTTCTGGTGTCTCCCGCCGTGATATTGCTGGAATACTGCTAAAAGCGGCTTAAAACCATACTCACTCACTCACCTGTGGGGAAGGTTGACACATTCATGCGCATTCGGTAGTGAACGGCGTTTGTATGCGTGTGAGTTAGTGTAAGGGGTGTTCACGTCTGTGTGTGTACAAATCTGTTACCCATGTGTAATACTGAGTCCAGCCATTAGAGTTGGTTGTATAAGAGTGAGTGAATATGGTTTTAAACCACTTTCAGCCATATTCCAGCAATATCACAGCGGAGGGACATCAGCAATGGGCTTTACACATTGTGCGGAATCAAACCCGGGTGTTCGGCCTGACTAGCGAATGCTCTAACCACCAGGCTACCCCACCGCTCCTTATTGTATTGCAGTACAAATATGTAGGACTGAATATATTGCAAAACATCCATGAAAATATCCATGACAACATCACGGACCGACCCTGACTCTTTCATCTTCCCGAGGCAAGGGAGGTAACTGACTGAACAAGTCCAGTTTCCACAGTCAGTTAACTACTCCCTTGCCTCGGGAAGATGGCACCTTTTTGCTGATTTACCTGTGTTAAAGTCTGACAGCCAGGAACAGATGTATCCAGGAAACAGTGACGCTTCCTCAACGTCTGACGCCGATAACGCCGTGGTATGACTTGAACGTTGGCGTGACGTTACCGATGTCGTTGGAGCTTGATGGAGTTTCAGACGTCCCTGATGTTATCTCATGCTAACACCCGGCTACGAAAGGCACCAGCTCACTGTGGTGTTGAAGCAGGCGTTATCTGATCATATGTAGAAGGTGTTGGTGACACGTACTCCACACAGTGACAAGTTCTGGACGTGTATTGTTATGTAATTGTCGTGTTTGGTACACCTTTGATAGTGTCTTCAACCCCCTCGGCGTATATTGAGAGGTGTGGAAGGGCTTTATGTATTCATATGGACATATAGACAGAATATTAAGGATTCGTATGCCCCTAATTTATAACGCCTTTGACAAATTTATGTAAACATGTTACTGGCACAAGCTGAGGATTCAATTAACTACGATGACACCAGTCGAGTCAACAGTCAAACAGTGGAGTGCGTGTGACTTGGTGTACGCTTTATGGTCGTCTTTGAGTCGTTCAATAAAGACTGCTACAAGTAGCCTACGTGCCGTCGTCGACGCTGCTGTTAGACAAATACAGTGCCATGTCTGTGTTTATATACTTCTTCTTGTTGTTGTACGGGGTTTATAGTGCAAGGGGTGGGTTTCTTCTAAACAAATATACGCATATACACTGGTCTAGGTAGGGAGATCCTTGACACAAATATAGACTAGTATACGGAGTAGACGCCCCTTTTAAACACATATACGCATATACACTGGTCTAGGTAGGGAGATCCTTGACACAAATATAGACTAGTATACTGAGTAGACGCCCCTTTTAAACACTTATACGCCTATACACTGGTCTAGGTAGGGAGATCCTTGACACAAATATAGACTAGTATACGGAGTAGACGCCCCTTTCAAACACATATACGCACATACACTGGTCTAGGTTGACAACTCATTCTTGCCGTGAAAGGCGACTATGCTTGTCGTAAGAGGCGACTAATGGGATCGGGTGAGTGAGTGAGTGACTTTGGTTTTACGCCGATTTTAGCAATACTCCAGCAATATCACGGCGGGGGACACCAGAAATGGGCTTCACACATTGTACCCATGTCGGGAATCGAACCCGGGTCTTCGGCGTGACGGGCGAATGCTTTAACCACTAGGCTACCCGACCGCCTCTCGTAATTTAAACCAAGGAGCATGGGTAACGTGCTAACAGAACTAGGATATCTGGTAGTCCGTCCCCGATCGCCAGATCCTGGAACGTATAAGAGACACAACTCTGTATAACAAGTTGTTGCGTCTTTTACGACAGGGCCATCCGTGCCCCTTTAGTTATATCTGAGACTTATATGATACCCTCAAAGCCTTCGGCAACCCATACTTGCCGTAAGAGGCGACTACACTTGCTGATTGCGGCGTTAAACAACAAACAAACAAACAAACAAAAGCATATGTTGTGACAGCGTTAAACAACTAACGATAAGTTATTCATTGTAATATTAAGGCAAACGCGATATGATCTGTCGTGAAACTGGTATGATATGGAATTGTATTTAATCTATAAAGAAACCTGATATGCTCTGCTGTACCTTGTGTGATAAACGTCAATATTCTGACGTTGTGTAGTAACAGTCTCATTCTGACGTTGTGTGATAAACGTCACCATTCTGACGTTATACAATAAGTCCAGTTCCCACGTTGAGTAAAAACAGTCAAATTCTGACGTTGTTTAATAAAAGACACCATTCTGACGTTGTGTAGTATCAGTTTATTTTCTGACGTTATGTAATAACAGTCTCATTCTGACGTTGTGTGATAAACGTCACCATTCTGACGTTATACAATAAGTCCAGTTCCCACGTTGAGTAAAAACAGTCCAATTCTGACGTTGTGTAATAAAGACACCATTCTGACGTTGTGTAACATCACTCCCTTTTCTGACGTTATGTAATAACAGTCTCATTTTGACGTTGTGTGATAAACGTCACCATTCTGACGTTATACAATAAGTCCAGTTCCCACGTTGAGTAAAAACAGTCAAATTCTGACGTTGTGTAATAAAAGACACCATTCTGACGTTGTGTAGTATCAGTTTATTTTCTGACGTAATGTAATAACAGTCTCATTCTGACGTTGTGTTATAAACGTCACCATTCTGACGTTATACAATAAGTCCAGTTCCCACGTTGAGTAAAATCAGTCCAATTCTGACGTTGTGTAATAAAGACACCATTCTGACGTTGTGTAATAAAGGCACCATTCTGACGCTGTGTAACATCACTCCCTTTTCTGACGTTGTGTAGTAACAGTTTCATTCCGACGTTGTGTAATAACAGTCCATTCGTATTTTGTGTGATTAGGTTACCAATCTGACGATGTCTCTTGGAAATTTAGGGAAACTCCATGTTGATACTTTTTTAGAGAGGCTAATTCATTTATCTCGTTAACTCCATTTGAGATTCCGGCACACGCCATTATTTGACACGCGATCATCAGTAGGGCGGAGCTTGTGACTGCCCCTAGAACCGTGTCTGTCAGACAGATACCATCGAAAGACGACTCGTATTAAACATACGTAGCAACACATAACGATTCGTATGTACATGTTACAGTGAGAGACTTGGGTTAACGCCGCTTTTAACAACGTACCAGTCATATCACGACGTGTCAGCTTAATGTGGGAGGAAAGCCTGAAGTGATGCATGTCTCAGACACTTACCACAAGCACGAGTACACGGTGCTGACAAACCCAGAACATAATCGGGTCGAACCGGGATTCGAACCATCAATCACAAGTTTCTAGCGTGCAGCCCTGCACAGCGAATTGCGAGGCCTTGGGCAACTGGATCGTCCGTGGGTCCAGTAATGCTAACATGTACAGTAGCTTTTAGTATATAAAACGTATAACAATTCGAACCATCAATCACAAGTTTCTAGCGTGCAGCCCTGCACAGCGAATTGCGAGGCCTTGGGCAACTGGATCGTCCGTGGGTCCAGTAATGCTAACATGTCTAGTAGCTTTTAGTACATAAAACGTACTACAATGACCAGTACATTGTAAACACATGTTTAGGTCACAAACACAAACCTTAGCGCGTTCTTTGTCCCATAGCCTTGCTCCAAGTCACTACTGAATGATAACTCAATGGATGTATAGTTATTCTATCCTTATAACAGGCAAGTCTAGACAAGTGGACATCTAAAGACGCCAGTCTTTTAAAGGGCCAACTTGTTCTTACATTATATTATTTGTATAAATTTTGAAATATGATTTAACAAATATTTATTGTCTTAGATATTTGCATAAGTCAACTTAACATTCACGATTGTGTTGAACAGCTGAACGTGATTATTGTCTAAATATGGGAAAGAACTGGAAATTCATTGTAGGTATTTTTTTGAAGTGGCGCTTTCTACATATTTGTTATTTTTGGGTTTTATAGGAATAGAGGAGTGTGGTTGTGTAACGCCTTTGAAAATATGGACTCTATTCTAGTAATCAGATATGCTTAAAGTTTATTGTCAGCTTCCGTTCCTTGTAGGACAGAAATACTATAAGTCATACGGCGAAAACACTTTTATGAACGGGGGCACGGGTGGCCAAGCGAATCGCTGTGCAGAGTTGCGTCCCTTGGGCACGCCAGAACCTATGATTGTGGGTTCGAATCCCGGTTCACCCCGATTATGTTTCTAGGTTTGTCAGCACCATACCCGTGCTCGTGGGTTTCACCGAAGTGATAAACGTCTGAGACCTGCATTACTACGGGCTTTCCTCCCACATTAAGCTGACACGTCCTGATATAACTGGAATAATGTTAAAAGCGGCGTTAAACCCAACTCACTCACTCACTCACTTTTATGAACACTTTTAAAACTTCGGCGGGATACGAACCTGCAACCTCTTGATGTGTCGTCCTGCACGCTACCACACGTGGTACAAACATTTTGATGTCATCTAGTATTTCTAGTCACCATTATCTAAACACATGTTAATATTGTACCAGCTTCGGTAAAAAAGCTATAATACATCATATCCATATTTGATTTACTGCCCAATCATAGTACTTTACTGAAACATACATGTTCAGATTATTAGGATAATACTCAAAGATATGCATTTTAAATGTTTAAAAATGAAAACTTGTTTAAATTATTGGGGTGATGTGTTTAGGTGTGAGACTATAGTTCATATCATGTGTTTAAACACAATGTCATCTTTTACAGTTTAAAGACAGATTACAATGGCCAAAAACGTCTCATATTGAAAGTCAGATTACAACGGTCATTAACGTTTCATGTGTAAAGACAGATTACAATGACTAACAGCGTTTCATGTATATTGGTTACAATTGCCAAAAATGTCTCCTATTTAAAGACAGACAAGTTACAATGACCAGTAGCGTTTCATGTATACTACTCAAAAGAAGTTAAGGATCACCTGATTCTTTCATATTACAATAGGGGCGGTCGGGTAGCCTAGTGGTTAAAGCGTTAGCTCGCCACGCCGAAGACCCGGGTTCGATTCCCGACATGGGTACAATGTGTGAAGCCCATTTCTGGTGTCCCCCGCCGTGATATTGCTGGAATATTGCTATAAGCGGCGTAAAACCATACCCACTCACTCACTCATATAACAATAGTTAAACTCTCATGCCATGACAGATTAACTTTACCAACACGAAAGAATCGGGTGATCCTTAACTTCTTTTGAGTAGTATATAAAGACAGGTTTCAATGGCCAATACCTGTCTTACATGCTACAAAGGAAAGTGCCGTTTCATGTTCAAGGTCAGATCACAATGGGCAAAAGCATCTTGAGTGTAAGATATTACAATGGCCAATAGTGTCTGGCATGCAAAACAGGTTACAGTGACCAATGGCCGTTTCATGTTTAAAGATGGCGTCCGTCAGTGGCGTCTTGTATGTAACACAGGTTACAATGACTAATGGCCGTTTCGTGTTTAAAGATGGCGTCTGTCAGTGGCGTCTTGTATGTAACACAGGTTACAATGACCAATGGCCGTTTTGTGTTTAAAGATGGCGTCTGTAAGTGGCGTCTTGTATGTAACACAGGTTACAATGATCAATAGGATGTTACAATTGAAAATGGCGTCATATATGTGAGATTTTACTGCGACCAGCAATGTTGGGGGTGATTTTTGTAACCTATCATGTATAACAAAGGCATACATTTGCAAAGATTTGATTCAGAGACATGGAAGCACTCGTCTTAAAGTGTATGATCAGCGTGTGTTGTTTTTTACACATGTAATTACGCAATGCCCCGGACAATTAGACTCACCCCTGCCCTGAACACGACCCGCTAGGGCTGTGGGGCAGACACGTTTCACGCGTCTATAATCAATACAGGGTGCCAGCGTGGAATGAATAATTTACGTCGGGAAGCCAACGTCACGCAACAGACGTTGCGGTAAACACCGTCACCTGCAAAGACGCAACAGCCAATCGCCGTGCCCCTTCCCCAACCTTAGATGAGTCAACCAATCTGAACACAGTCGTCACGGGATCAGGCGTCGCCATATTGCCTGTTTGGGGGAGACCGACCACAAAGCAATTTTGATCTGTTTTCCTGTTGTATTAAGCCATTAAGGTAAGGTACTTATATTATCTAATGTATAATAGATGGAGTAATATTCACAGCCCATCCCCGCCCGCCGAATCAAGATGTATTTTCCACACGCGGGGTGGTGAATCATTCATAGGGCACTTCTAACTTCGCTTAAACCAATCTGGCCCCAACAATAATTAATTGCAGTCAGGCAAGTGTGTTGGTATTTAGCCTCCATGTGTAAGTGTCTTTCGTTTATGTCAAAGCGCTGGCGAGAGTTGTCAGTCTGGAATCAGTGTAAATCTGAGTTACGCGGTTGGTGTATGGCGGTGTTGCCCCTGTTGTCTGTACCTGATCCTCATCCCAGAAATACCCGATCTAGATGTACATAAACTGTTGTACAACATGCCGACAGCTAGCCAGTGTCTGATTCTCAGCAGCCTGGTTGCACGGAGGCCCCCCAACACCCCCTACGTCCTGAGTGACACACCAGAAGGGGACGGCGAGGAAAATGCCGCACCCGAAGGAACCGCGGATCCTGCCAACGCTGTCGTCACGGCTAGTCAGCTCCGCGCCTCTACTCATATCACACCCACCTTTGCCCGTACCCCCGAGCGCCCAGCCACTACCCATGGAGACAGGCAGAGAAGCACCCCCACGTCCCTCAATGCACGTGTGACTGTTTCCCATTCAGCTGGCGACCCGGGGCTGCCTGGACCCGACCCAGACATGCCACACCGGGCCGGGTCTGCATCCTGGAGCCACCGTGGGTACCCGATCTCCACCCGGATCGGGATAGCCGTTGCCCGGGGCAACAGGAGGTTTGACCGGCATCGTGAGATGACAAGCTTCCAGAAACAGTGTATGGACTCAGTAGAGGGGTCTCTCTCTCCGCGAAGTACTTACGATGCTATACCTACTGCGCAGGACCGGGATTCACACAGACTTCCGGAATCATACATGCGAAACAGGAAGGTAGGCTGGAACACTGACACAACAACTGCCGTCGTCTCAGACACCGGCGTTCATGGAAACAACGCAGGTTATTCCGGGTTAAGACGAGCTAACACCAACGTCCTAGACGACGCACGTGCCGTGGCCACGTTCCAGCGACAGGTGGTCCGATTTGACAGTAACGTGAAGGTGTGTGACCCCCAGGTGAGACTCCAGTCGGGCCTCCCACAGTCACAACCGCTGATCCATATTGTTGACACTGACGTTGCGGCAGCGGCGGCGGCGACAGATGATCTCCTAGTGAGCTTGGCGTCCGACGCAGTGCTCGGATCTGCTGGCCCTGGCGAGGGCGTGGCCGATCCCGGGGGACAGGGACAGCCCCACTCCTTCCCCATGAATAGCCCTAAACTGTTTCTTCCGGTGGCATGCACGGATGACCTGCGCGCGCGTTTATACGAACTGGGGTGGCGACGTCCAATCAAACCAAAGAGAAAGAAGTAAGTTGTCGGCGCGTATTGATATGATTTTCCTTGTAATACTTTTAATGTGTGTAAGACCTTTGTGTAATAAGGGGGCGCGGGTGGCCCAGTCGTCTAAGGCGCCGCTGTGCAGAGTTGCGTCCCTTGGGCACGCCAGAAACCTTTGATTGTGGGTTCGAATTCCGGTTCGCCCGATTATGTTTCTAGGTTTGTCAGCACCATACCCGTGCTCGTGGGTTTCACCGAAGTAGTCGTCTGAGACGTGCATCACTTCGGGCTTTCCTCCCACATTAAGCTGACATGCTGTGATATGACTGGAATACTGTTAAAAGCGGCGTTAAACCCAACTCACTCACTCACTTGTGTTATTAATTATTTGGGGATCGGTCATATATTACAGGGATGTGTTGGTCAGAATTGTTTTATGCAGTTTAAACAATCTTATTTTTCCATGAATGAAAACGTAATCGTTTTGTATAAACATGCAACACATGAGCGTCTACAAAGATTTGTTTGGGCCAAATAATCAGGAACCGATTCAATAATCTTAAACTTTAAAGCATCTGGCAAATCTGAGTTACCGAACAATATAGTTGTTATACTATATCTCTTATAGAAGAAAAAAAACCCAGTTGGATCTTACATGGTTGAAATTTGATCACTGCAAAAAATAATGAAAACTGTCATGTAGTAAAAACCAGAGCTACAAATAGAGATATCACAAATAAAGCAATCAAATTGGTGTCCATTTAGGTGGCTATTAAATTTAATCCCAATAACGAGGATCGATGCTCATGATGTCAATCACTGGATAGTCTGGCCCAAACCGATTATTTACAGACCCCCGTTATGTAGCTGGGATATTGCTGAGTGCGGCGTTAAACAACAAACAAACAAAGAGATGGTCACTTGTACTGGGTCTGTCATATGATGCGAGGTGTGTGAGTGAGTATGGTTTTACGCCGCTTTTAGCAATATTCCAGCAATATCACGGCGGGGGACACCAGAAATGGGCTTCACACATTGTACCCATATCGGGATTCGAACCCGGGTCTTCGGCGTGACGAGCGAACACTTTAACCACTAGGCTACCCGACAGCCCCTATGATGCGAGGAAACAGATGAAGCAATTAAGAGGGCAGACAAATAACTATTGTTGTGGAATACTTAAAAAATATACCGTTAAATAAACGTTATCGGTGTCTATATTTCTTTATGAGCATGTCACAAAACAAATGTGGTTCGTCAGGCAATAAAGGAAACGGTTTTCACAAATGACTATTTTATATGGAAATATATGGTTAGTACTGCTTAATGGTGTTTTAATGTGTGTATCATATCACTTGGATTAGGGTTTAGGGTTAGGGGAACAGATGGAAATCTATATATAGTTTAGTTGCTGGAATCATGTAGGATGAAAAATGTCTGCCTCTGAATCCCGCCAAACCCAAAACATGACAACACCTAAAGTCCGAAATTTTACTGATACAGTAAACTACGGTTATAACGAACTCAACGGGACTTCTAATTTTAGTTCGTTATAACCGTAGTTCGTTATAAGTACATATACAGCATGACTTCAGCAAGTAGTCGGGACCAAAAAGTAAGTTCGTTATATCCGTCAGTTCGTTATAAGCGTGTTCGTTATAACCGTAGTTTACTGTATATTTACTGCATATAACACTGTTTGCTCAGTGTGAAATACATTTCTTAATGTCTCATAACTGACAATACCTTTGGATTTTCTTCGCTTCAGGAAAAAAATGGATATGGTTTTCACAAAAGACTGTTTTATATATATGTAAGAAATAAACGACTCGTGGTCGTTGTTTATCGTACAATTAAACACTACAGGGAGAATAAACCACGAATACAGTTTATAATTTGGGACTGCCTCATACTGACGAGTGTCTAAGCTGTTTCGCCTCGGTCAGTGGCATCAACTAAGTCCAAGGTTGGCGATTCCCAACTGTGAAGTTTGGATTTTTCAAAGTTTCGCAGAACAAGGGAGGCAACTCTTGTCACACCTTATTATAACGTGTTGGTCACGGTGAAGACCCCGGTTTCATTCTTCACTGCATGGGCACAATTTGTGAAACCAGATCTTGATATCACCAGCCGTGACATGTCTGGAATAATGTTTTATATATGGACTAAAGCCGTTATAAAACAATACTCGCTCAAAAGATGAGTGTTTAGGGAAGCAGGTTTTAATCCGATGAGCAGCACTTACATATTTACGTCGTCCCCGCATCTTCTAGATGCAAAGTGACCATGGTGGGCTTTGTTTGTTTGTTTGTTTGTTGTTAAACGCCGCACCCAGCAATATTCCAGCAATATGACGGCGGTATGTAAATAATCGAGTTTGGACCAGACAATCCAGTGATTGACATCATCAGCATCGATCCACGCAATTGGGATTCGAGGACATGCATCAACCAAGTCAGCGACCCTGACCACCCGATCCCGTTAGTCGCCTCTTACGACAAGCATAGTCGCCTGTTACGGCAAGTATGGGTTGCTGAAGACCTATTCTAACCCGGATCTTTACGGGTTGCGTTGTGGGGTAGCCAAGTGGTTAAAGAGTTTGCTCGTGACGCCGAAGACCCGGGTTCGATTCTCTAAATGGGTACAATGTGTGAAGCCCATTTCTGGTGTCCACCACCGTGATGTTGTTGGAATATTGCTAAAAGCGGCATAAAGATATATTCACTCACAGGATGTAAATTCTCCGCCTAGATCCGGGCGGGCCGTCCCAACTGTGTATTTTGTAGATGAGTCAAATAATGGTACATATACACATATGGCCTTCTCGTCTCGTCATACTGCTTTCTAGTTCCGCGTTATCGCTTTCTCGTCTCGTGCCATGGCTTCCTCGTCTTGTGGACCGCCTCCGTGGTCTAGTGCTAGAGCGTCCGCCCGGAGAGCGGAAGGTCCGGGGTTCGATCCCCGGCCGCGTCATACCAAAAGACGTTAAAAGATGGTACTTGTTGTTACCCTGTCTGGCGCTCGGCATTAAGGGGCTAAAACAAGGACTGGTCGGCTCGGAGTCAGTATACTGTGTCTGAGTGGGGTATTCATGTTAAACTGCGGCATGGTATCTCAGTGAGCTAGCACTATAAATCGGCATCAGTCCGGACTAGTACAAGCAGCCACACAAACACACACGTACATGCACGTCGCTATATAAGTGCAATAATCTTGGACGCGACGTTAAACCCCATTTCACCACCTCACCTCCTCGTCTTGTGTGATCTCTTCATCGCTTTCTCTCGGCCGTAATTTGACTGCGAGAAAGCGATTTCCTCTCTCGACCACCATACATTAGTACAGCCTCGGTACAAGGTCATTCGACACACACTGACTTCACTGACATTATTAATCAGGGGTTTTCACGATAAAGTTACCTAACTTATATTAGTTTATCCCGATGCAGGAAATCGCGATTCCGAAAAGATATATAAAAACGACCAAGCAAGTTGCCCTTCAAACAAGGATGAAAATAACATATTAACATAAAAATGTAGCCAAATTATTATAATTATGTAATCAGAGCTTTGCCGCCTTCGATACGTGTATGAGAGTCACCTACAAGCTACAAGGGATTCCGAGTTTCTAGTTTGTTAAACTTAAAATTTACTTCAAAACGTCGATTGATCCCATCCCTTTCCACCTTCGAAATTGATAGCAGCTAACCCCGAAGAAATGTATCCCTACGCAACTGTTAACAAGCGACCTTTTCACGACGCATCGGATTGTGTAAAGTAGTTCGCTATTACCATTCAAATGTGCTATATTTATATCATTTATTCCTTATATTCCCTGTTGGTAAGAAATTAATCATGTCCCCCATAATTGGTTTGTGTCACGTCCTCTGTGGGGATTCCGGAAAAGAATTGTCCTTAGTTCCCAAGACCACCTCCGTGGTCTAGTGGTAGAGCGTCCGCCCGGGGAGCGAAGGGTTTGGGGTTCGATCCCCGGCCGCGTCATACTCAGTACGTTAAAAGATGGTACTTATTGTTACCCTGTCTGGCGCTCGGCATTAAGGGGCTAAAACAAGGACCGCGACGGCATCTCAGTGAGCTAGCACTATTAGTCGGCATCAGTCCGGACTAGTACAAGCAGCCGGAAAAGAATTGTCCTTAGTTCCCAAGACCACCTCCGTGGTCTTGTGGTAGGGCGTCCGCCCTGAGAGAGAAAGGTCTGGGGTTCGATCCCCGACCGCGTCATACTCAGTACGTTAAAAGATGGTACTTATTGTTACCCTGTCTGGCGCTCGGCATTAACGGGCTTAAACAAGGACTGGTCGGCTCGGAGTCAGTATACTGTGTCTGAGTGGGGTATTCATGTTAAACTGGGGCATGGTATCTCAGTGTGGTAGCACTTTAAATCGGCATCAGTCCGGACTAGTACAAGCAGCCACACACACACACACACACACACACACACACACACACACACACACACACACACACACACACACACACACACACACACACACGTGCATGCACGTCGCTATATAAGTGCAATAATCTTGACACCAGAAATGGGCTTAACACGTTGTACCCATGTCGGGAATCGAACCCAGGTCTTCGGCGTGACGAGCGAACGCTTTAACCACTAGGCTACCCGACCGCACTTAAAATCGGCATCAGTCGGACTAGTACACACACACACACACACACACACACACACACACACACACACACACACACACACACACACACACCACACACGCCCCACACACACGCACACTGACTCAGTCACACGTTCATGAACATCGCTATATACAGTCATGTACAATAATCTTGGACGCGACGTTAAACCCTATTTCCCCTAACCTCCGCTAAGTTCCCATGCTTGTGGACGGAGCTGGATAATGATGGTCAGGTTGTCAGGGTCGATGTCTGATTGCGTGTGACCTAGGTGGCGCTGATCGTTGTTCATGCGTTCAGTCATTGGTTTATCTGTTCGGACACACGCCTATATGATATAACTTGAATAAATCCGCTGATTGTGGCGTTGACAACGTTCACTGACTGCCTCACTTAGAGCGACAGGCCCGTGAAGATGCGGGTTAGAATTGGTCTTCAGCAACCCATGCTTGCCGTAGGAGGTGGCTAAACGGATAGGGTGGTCGAGCTCGCTGACTTGGTTGATGCATGTCGTTGTATCTCAAGTGCGTAGATTGATGCTCATCATTTCAATCACTGGATGGTCTCGTCCAGACTCGATTATCTACATATTGCCATCATATATCTGGACTATTGCTCAGCCATCAACCAATTAATAAGCATATTGCATATGAAATAACAGAGCGACACCTATTGCATATGCAACGGATCCGTGAAGATCCGGGGTAGAATAGGTCTTCAGAAACCCATGCTTGCCGTAAAAGGCGACTATGCTTGTCGTAAGAGGCGACTAACGGGATCGGGTGGTCAGGCTGACTGACTTGGTTGATGCATGTCATCCTATCCCGCGTAGATCAATTCTTATGATATCAATCGCAGGATTGTCTGGTCCAGACTCGATTATTTACATCTGGAATATTGCTGAGTGCGACGTTAAACAAACAAACAAATAAACAAACAAACAAACGAGCCACACTTATTGTTATTTTAGGGAAGAAGCGCCCCCAGCGCCTACTGTAGATCTGAGTGGTCTCCCTTCGCTGATGGATCTTAAGAAGGACCCTATGCTCCGGAAGGCGAGGAAGTCGCGAGCCCCGCCACTCCAAAGCAAACCCCCGGAGCCGAACCCTAACGCCGTTTGTTTCAGCATCCTTGGCTCAACGCTGACGCACCATGAGGTGTGGGCTGCCTTCAAGAAGGACATCCTGTCCCACCACCCCGAGGTGAGGGTCAAGTCCTTGCAGTTCATCCCCCGGGCCATCTTCATCAAACGACCCAAAGGGGGTGACCCCATCGAGGACCGGTGGGTCATCACATTCTCCTCCGAGTGGTTCAGGAACAGGGTGGCAGGCATGGACCTCAAGTTCAAAACTGAAGCAGTCCAGGTAAGTGAACAGAGCTGGGTGGTGGCGCGAGTGATAGGGGCAGGCATGGACCTCAAGTTTAAAACTGAAGCAGTCCAGGTAGGTGAACAGAGCTGGGTGGTGGCGCGAGTGATAGGGGCAGGCATGGACCTCAAGTTTAAAACTGAAGCAGTCCAGGTAGTCGAACAGAGCTGGGTGATGGCGAGAGTGATAGGGGCAGGTAGGTGACAGAGCTGGATGATGGCGCGAGTGATAGGGGCAGGTAGGTGACAGAGCTTGGTGATGGCGCGAGTGATAGGGGCAGGTAGGTGAAGAGAGCTGGGTGATGGCGCGAGTGATAGGGGCAGGTAGGTGAACAGAGCTTGGTGATGGTGCGGGTAATAGGGGCAGGCAGGTGAACAGAGCTTGGTGATGGTGCGGGTAATAGGGGCAGGTAGGTGACAGAGCTGGATGATGGCGCGAGTGATAGGGGCAGGCAGGTGAACAGAGCTTGGTGATGGTGCGGGTAATAGGGGCAGGTAGGAGAACAGAGCTTGGTGATGGCGCGAGTGATAGGGGCAGGTAGGTGAACAGAGCTGGGTGATGGTGCGGGTGATAGGGGCAGGTAGGTTAAGAGAGCTGGGTGGTGGCGCGAGTCATGGGTGTGAATTCTGCTGTGCTTACAGAGTAGGAATGTACGAGATTAGTATTGGGTGTGGTCTGATTGAGCATCTTCCCGAGGCAAGGGAGTTTACTGACGTTAAATGTGGAAACTGGTGTTTTAAAACCAGTGAACTACCATGCCCCGGGAAGATGGTGATTGGGCAGGAACTATTTATTCATACAGACCCGGAATAAAATAATGTCCGAAGTTTCACTGAGTAAAATGCCTGGATTCAGTCAGTTTGACAGCTGGCAGACGCCACAAACGAACCGAGTTGCTTCCCTTTACTAAAAACATTCAGATAAACATCGGTTCATATCAGCTCTAAGATACGTATGCGGGATAAGCAATTTACCTAAGGGGTATTACGATTGATGTCTCAACGGGGTACATGGGCGGGCTAAATGGAAGATAATTGCCCGCTCCATAATAATCAGCAGCTTGTATTTCAATGTACGTTGAGATGAAGTAGTTTATCATGATAACGTCAACCAGCACCACGACTCTAGTCGTCATCATTCCTGTTGCAGCTCCGACGGTACGATGACGTCGTTAACTGCGAATACCGACAGTTTACCCGGATGAACGACTACATGAAAATGGTCAGCATGAAGAAATAACACACCGGAAGTGATGTCACTGCACGGACGCCATTCCAGCCAGAATGTTAGCTACCCCTGTACAACCATCTTCCCGAGGGAAGCGTCTCCACTAGCATATTAGACTAACATCTAGTCTCTGAAATGAACATATCGTACAGAAAAAAACAGTTGTTCAGTTATCTTAATAAATATATAATAAAAAGGAGCCGAGTGACTCTCTTCATTTTCAGATACTGCAGTGATCTAGACTTGCCAAACATTATAGACTTGCATGGGCTGTATTTGATAATTATATATTTGTATCAGGGTCTGTAAGACAGACTAACTGGCCTATATCAAAGCCTAGTTTCTACCCAACATCAAGGCCACTTTTCTTGGCTCGAACCTGGTGCCACCTCGCGTAGATCACGAGTTGTGTACCTTGTAATGAAAACGCGATATCCAATCAGCTCGCTGTTCTTATGTCTTCAAAAAGATGGCGACTACCATAGGTGACGACCTAGTCGATCAGATCTCGAATACATTCGCGATTTCATTCCTGAAACAGAAAACATGGGCAGTCGTTAGGGGTTAACCAGATTAAAAAGACGTGTCAACAAAGACAGACAGCGATAAATAATTTTCATACGAAAGTACCAGTCGTGGATGTTGATTTTGTGAAACTTTCTCTGCTTGTACTATCGATATTTGCGATAGTCCAATCATATTTAGCACAGGAATGTGGGCTTGATGTGGCAAGGGTGGAACAAGACTTTAATAAAAAGGCTAGTGGACGCTCTTGCCTTGGGAAGATGTGGAAACAAGACTTTGATAAAAAGGCTAATGGACGCTCTTGCCTCGGGAAGATGTGGAAACAAGACTTTGATAAAAAGGCTAGTGGACGCTCTTGCCTCGGGAAGATGTGGAAACAAGACTTTGATAAAAAGGCTAATGGACGCTCTTGCCTCGGGAAGATGTGGAAACAAGACTTTGATAAAAAGGCTAGTGGACGCTCTTGCCTCGGGAAGATGTGGAAACAAGACTTTGATAAAAAGGCTAATGGACGCTCTTGCCTCGGGAAGATGTGGAAACAAGACTTTGATAAATAGGCTAGTGGCCGCTCTTGCCTCGGGAAGATGTGGAAACAAGACTATGATAAAAAGGCTAGTGGACGCTCTTGCTTCGATGCTGTACACAGGACGTCACTGCTAGTGAGAGGTGTATGTACCAAGGGTGGGGGTATCAGGACATTGTATGGTGATTCATGGGCAGCATTCAGTGGCTGGGGACGATGTGTCAAGCCCTTGTATCACATATGCAGCCACGAGGGGAACACCAGGACTGCAGATCACAAACTGCATCAGGCCAGGTCAGTTATCAAACAGACACAGCATTGGACCCGTCATCATGGCGACCCTACCAGGATCCCCCTGAAATGTAATCTCATGAGCTCACCACCATATACCACGTGTCTACATGTTGTTTTTATTCCAGATAATAAATTCCTGTCTTTGCTGATGTGTTCTTGTAGATTATTGTTTGTTGTTTAACGCCGCACTGAGCAATATTCCAGCTATATGACGGCGGTCTGTATATAATCGCATCTGGACCGGACGATCTAGTATTTGGTGTAATGAGTCCACGCCGTTGGGTACGATGCCAAGCAATCAGCCAAATTACTGAGCCTGACCACCCGATTTATTTAATCGCCTCTCACAGGTTAGGTTGCCGAGGACCCATTCTATCCAGGAGAGCGGTGTCAGAGCGGTGTTAAGGGGGAATGATATTTTGTAGATCGCTTATTGGGATAGGTGGACTTTCTGAATAGGCAGTGAGGAGATCGAGACCTGCATATAGTCAGTATAATAAACACTGAATGAAAACATATATACCCAATCAGTAAATCAGTACTACAAATACAATCTACCATAGATACTACCTGTACATTCTAACCTGAACACACCCACTACAGTCAACCCTGAAAACAGGCAGATCATTCTACCCTGAATACACCCACCACAGTCAACCTTGAAAACAGGCAGATCATTCTACCCTGAAACACACCCACTACAGTCAACCTTGAAAACAGGCAGATCATTCTACCCTGAATACACCCACTACAGTCAACCTTGAACACAGGCAGATCATTCTACCCTGAATACACCCACCACAGTCAACCCTGAAAACAGGCAGATCATTCTACCCTGAACACACCCACTACAGTCAACCCTGAAAACAGGCAGATCATTCTACCCTGAATACACCCACCACAGTCAACCTTGAACACAGGCAGATCATTCTACCCTGAATACACCCACTACAGTCAACCTTGAAAACAGGCAGATCATTCTACCCTGAAACACACCCACTACAGTCAACCTTGAAAACAGGCAGTACATTCTACCCTGAATACACCCACTACACTCAACCCTGAAAACAGGCAGATCATTCTACCCTGAACACACCCACTACAGTCAACCCTGAAAACAGGCAGATCATTCTACCCTGAATACACCCACAACGGTCAACCCTGAAAACAGGCAGATCATTCTACCCTGAATACACCCACTACAGTCAACCTTGAAAACAGGCAGATCATTCTACCCTGAAACACACCCACTACAGTCAACCCTGAAAACAGGCAGATCATTCTACCCTGAATACACCCACTACAGTCAACCTTGAAAACAGGCAGATCATTCTACCCTGAATACACCCACCACAGTCAACCCTGAAAACAGGCAGATCATTCTACCCTGAATACACCCACTACAGTCAACCTTGAAAACAGGCAGATCATTCTACCCTGAACACACCCACTACAGTCAACCTTGAAAACAGGCAGATCATTCTACCCTGAATACACCCACTACAGTCAACCTTGAAAACAGGCAGATCATTCTACCCTGAATACACCCACTACAGTCAACCTTGAAAACAGGCAGATCATTCTACCCTGAATACACCCACAACAGTCAACCCTGAAAACAGGCAGATCATTCTACCCTGAATACACCCACTACAGTCAACCTTGAAAACAGGCAGATCATTCTACCCTGAATACACCCACCACAGTCAACCTTGAAAACAGGCAGATCATTCTACCCTGAATACACCCACTACAGTCAACCTTGAAAACAGGCAGATCATTCTACCCTGAATACACCCACTACAGTCAACCTTGAAAACAGGCAGATCATTCTACCCTGAACACACCCACAACAGTCAACCCTGAAAACAGGCAGATCATTCTACCCTGAACACACCCACAACAGTCAACCTTGAAAACAGGCAGATCATTCTACCCTGAATACACCCACTACAGTCAACCCTGAAAACAGGCAGATCATTCTACCCTGAACAGACCCACCACAGTCAACCCTGAAAACAGGCAGTTCATTCTACCCTGAATACACCCACTACAGTCAACCCTGAAAACAGGCAGATCATTCTACCCTGAGCACTTCACTGAACACAACCTCATCCAGTAAAATCTACACAGACACAACCGATAGATAGATTCTCCGGTTGACATTGATTCACCTGAAAGTCTAGTCGCCAGTGTGATATACGTTGAATTTTATCATTATATAAATAGCAATGTGATCTCAAGCGGTGTGACAGGGCAGGTTTTCTACAGAAAACCAGGATTAGAGTTCGCCAGCTTATTATTATCCGCCTCTCTATATGATGTTTATATTTAGCTACATTAGACGACGGGTTTCTATACCATTAGAGGTCTTCAGAGCGAACTTCAGCCTAGATGAATAACCTCCCCACCTGTCTAACCAGTTCAGTCTACCCGTAATACAGTTAGGGTGGTCTATTGCGAATACAGTTTGGGGTACGACGATGGCTCCACGAACCTTTCGGGCCCCTAAACATGCTTTGTGAGCAGGACAAAGAAACTTCTAGGCAGAACGGGCACACCCGTCCCTGTATGTGTGTATCTGTAGTTTAGTGGGACACCCGAAACAGGGAGGAAACTGTTTAAGGAGGCGGCCATTGTGTTTTTGTGATACAGACCCAGCTGACGTAGAGCTTGTTGAAGTTAGCGTTCTGCGTGAGTGACACCAGGAAGACCTTATCTTGTGTGTGTGTCATCTACCTGTGCAGTGCGCAGTATTGTGTATTGTGTATTGTGAATTGTGATTCACCCGATTGTAAGCGGCACATGTAGGAATATACCGTCCCCGGGATGTTGCATGCCTGTCTGTACTAACAAAGTGTGCAGTCGTGGTTGGAGACGTGAGTAGTGACATCATGTCTTGTATAATGACATGATACACCCTTATTTTCTATATTTAACGTCCGTGTACCCGTGTACCCGTATTACTCAGCACTATAATTGTGTCCTTCCTTTGACCTGCATATGTAAACTGATTGTTTGTTCAGTGTACCCGTATTTAGCAACTGAAACGTGTGTTGGTCCCTACACCCGGAATTGTATACAAGTATTCGGGTAGGCCCGTATACCTGTGTTTGTGTACAGGTAAATGCGTTGGTGCGTGTACCAGCATTGTCAGTCAGTCATGTGTAACCCAGGCAGGTATTCGGTGCGAGGATACAAATCCATCACTGACCCTGTATCTATCTGTACATGTCTGCTCGAATTCGTAATATTGGCAACCCCTGCAACACTGGGTTATCTCCCTTCCCTCTGCACGGGGAAGTTCAAACTGATTGTATTTTAAGAGTGACTAACTTGTATCTCTTCCCCATTGATACAATATCTCCGAAAGTAAACAATCTCCCAGGCGTCTCTCTTCCTTATCGATGTAAAGTCTCAAGAAGTGACCCACCGCCCACCCGTCTCTCTTCCCCAGTGAAACAAGGTCTCAAGAAGTAAACAACCGCCCACTCGTCTCTCTTCCCCAGTGATACATGATCTCAAGAAGTGACCAACCGCCTACCCGTCTCTCTTCCCCAGTGATACAAGGTCTCAAGAAGTGACCCACCGCCCACCCGTTTCTCCTCCCCACCGACACAAGGTCTCAAGAAGTGACCCACCGCCCACCCGTCTCCCTTCCCCAGTGATACAAGGTCTCAAGAAGAAAAAAACCGCCCACTCGTCTCTCTTCCCCATCGATACAAGGTCTCAAGAAGTAAACAACCGCCCACTCGTCTCTCTTCCCCACCGATACAAGGTCTCAAGAAGTGAACCACCGCCCACTCGTCTCTCTTCCCCACCGATACAAGGTCTCAAGAAGTAAACAACCACCCACTCGTCTCTCTTCCCCACCGATACAAGGTTTCTAGAAGTGACCCACCGCCCACCCGTCTCTCTTCCCCAGTGATACAAGGTCTCAAGAAGTAAACAACCGCCCACTCGTCTCTCTTCCCCAGTGATACAAGGTCTCAAGAAGTAAACAACCGCCCACTCGTCTCTCTTCCCCACCGATACAAGGTTTCTAGAAGTGACCCACCGCCCACCCGTCTCTCTTCCCCAGTGATACAAGGTCTCAAGAAGTAAACAACCGCCCACTCGTCTCTCTTCCCCAGTGATACAAGGTCTCAAGAAGTAAACAACCGCCCACTCGTCTCTCTTCCCACCGATACAAGGTCTCAAGGGGTAAACAACCGCACACTCGTCTCTCTTCCCCAGTGATACAAGGTCTCAAGAAGTGACCCACCGCCCACCCGTCTCTCTTCCCCACCGATACAAGGTCTCAAGGGGTAAACAACCGCCCACTCATCTCTCTTCCCAAACGATACAAGGTCTCAAGAAGTGACCAACCGCCCACCCGTCTCTCTTCCCCAGTGATACAAGGTCTCAAGAAGTAAACAACCGCCCACTCGTCTCTCTTCCCCACCGATACAAGGTCTTTAGAAGTGACCCACCGCCAACCCGTCTCTCTTCCCCACCGATACAAGGTCTCAAGAAGTGACCCACCGCCCACCCGTCTCTCTTCCCCAGTGATACAAGGTCTCAAGAAGTGACCCACCGCCCACTCGTCTCTCTTCCCCACCGATACAAGGTCTTTAGAAGTGACCCACCGCCAACCCGTCTCTCTTCCCCACCGATACAAGGTCTCAAGAAGTGACCCACCGCCCACCCGTCTCTCTTCCCCAGTGATACAAGGTCTCAAGAAGTGACCCACCGCCCACTCGTTTCTCTTCCCGACCGAAACAAGGTCTTAAGAAGTGACCCACCGCCCACCCGTCTCTCTTCCCCAGTGACACAAGGTCTCAAGAAGTGACCCACCGCCCACCCGTCTCTCTTCCCCACCGATACAAGGTCTCAAGAGCTAAACCACCGCCCACTCGTTTCTCTTCCCGACCGAAACAAGGTCTTAAGAAGTGACCCACCGCCCACCCGTTTCTCCTCCCCACCGACACAAGGTCTCAAGAAGTGACCCACCGCCCACCCGTTTCTCCTCCCCACCGACACAAGGTCTCAAGAAGTGAACCACCGCCCACCCGTCTCTCTTCCCCAGTGATACAAGGTCTCAAGAAGTATACCACCGCCCACCCGTCTCTCTTCCCCAGTGATACAAGGTCTCAAGAAGTATACCACCGCCCACCCGTCTCTCTTCCCCAGTGATACAAGGTCTCAAGAAGTATACCACCGCCCACCCGTCTCTCTTCCCCAGTGATACAAGGTCTCAAGAAGTGAACCACCGCCCACCCGTCTCTCTTCCCCAGTGATACAAGGTATCAAGAAGTATACCACCGCCAACCCGTCTCTCTTCCCAAGTGATACAAGGTCTCAGGAAGTCACCCAACGCCCACCCGTCTCCCTTCCCCACCGATACAAGGTCTCAAGAAGTGACCCACCGCCCACCCGTCTCTCTTCCCCAGTGATACAAGGTCTCAAGAAGTAAACAACCGCCCACTCGTCTCTCTTCCCCAGTGATACAAGGTCTGAAGAAGTGACCCACCGCCAACCCGTATCTCTTCCCCAGTGATACAAGGTCTCAAGAAGTGACCCACCGCCCACCCGTCTCTCTTCCCCAGTGATACAAGGTCTCAAGAAGTGACCCACCGCCCACCCGTCTCTCTTCCCCAGTGATACAAGGTCTCAAGAAGTGACCCACCGCCCACCCGTCTCTCTTCCCCAGTGATACAAGGTATCAAGAAGTATACCACCGCCCACCCGTCTCTCTTCCCCAGTGATACAAGGTCTCAAGAAGTGACCCACCACCTACCCGTCTCTCTTCCCCAGTGATACAAGGTATCAAGAAGTATACCACCGCCCACCCGTCTCTCTTCCCCAGTGATACAAGGTCTCAAGAGCTAAACCACCGCCCACTCGTTTCTCTTCCCCAGTGATACAAGGTCTCAAGAAGTGAACCATCGCCCACCCGTCTCTCTTCCCCAGTGATACAAGGTATCAAGAGGTATACCACCGCCAACCCGTCTCTCTTCCCAAGTGATACAAGGTCTCAAGAAGTCACCCAACGCCCACCCGTCTCTCTTCCCAACCGATACAAGGTATCAAGAAGTATACCACCGCCAACCCGTCTCTCTTCCACAGTGATACAAGGTCTCGAGAAGTGACAAACCACCCACCCGTCTCTCTTCCCCAGTGAAACAAAGTCTCAAGAAGTAAACAACCGCCCACTCGTCTCTCTTCCCCACCGATACAAGGTCTCAAGAAGTGACCCACCGCCCACCCGTCTCTCTTCCCCAGTGATACAAGGTCTCAAGAAGTGACCCACCGCCCACCCGTCTCTCTTCCCCAGTGATACAAGGTCTCAAGAAGTGACCCACCGCCCACCCGTTTCTCCTCCCCACCGACACAAGGTCTCAAGAAGTGACCCACCGCCCACCCGTCTCTCTTCCCCAGTGATACAAGGTCTCAAGAAGTAAACAACCGCCCACTCGTCTCTCTTCCCAGCCGATACAAGGTCTCAAGAAGTGACCCACCGCCCACCCGTCTCTCTTCCCAACCGATACAAGGTCTCAAGAAGTGAACAACCGCCTACCCGTCTCTCTTCCCCAGTGATACAATGTCTCAAGAAGTGAACCACCGCCCACCCGTCTCTCTTCCCCAGTGATACAAGGTCTCAAGAAGTAAACAACCGCCCACTCGTCTCTCTTCCCCAGTGATACAAGGTCTCTAGAAGTGACCCACCGCCCACCCGTCTCTCTTCCCCACCGATACAAGGTCTCAAGAAGTGAACCACCGCCCACCCGTCTCTCTTCCCCAGTGATACAAGGTCTCAAGAAGTAAACCACCACCCACCCGTCTCTCTTCCCCAGTGATACAAGGTCTCAAGAAGTGACCCACCGCCCACTCGTCTCTCTTCCCCAGTGATACAAGGTCTCAAGAGCTAAACCACCGCCCACTCGTTTCTCTTCCCGACCGAAACAAGGTCTCAAGAAGTGACCCACCGCCCACCCGTTTCTCCTCCCCACCGACACAAGGTCTCAAGAAGTGACCCACCGCCCACTCGTCTCTCTTCCCCAGTGATACAAGGTGTCAAGAAGTAAACCACTGCCCATCCGTCTCTCTTCCCCACCGATACAAGGTCTCTAGAAGTGACCCACCGCCTACCCGTCTCTCTTCCCCAGTGATACAAGGTCTCAAGAAGTGAACCACCGCCCACCCGTCTCTCTTCCCAACCGATACAAGGTCTCAAGAAGTGAACCACCGCCTACCCGTCTCTCTTCCCCAGTGATACAAGGTCTCAAGAAGTGACCCACCGCCCACCCGTCTCTCTTCCCCAGGGATACAAGGTCTCAAGAAGTAAACAACCGCCCACTCGTCTATCTTCCCCAGTGATACAAGGTCTCAAGGGGTAAACAACCGCCCACTAGTCTCTCTTCCCCACCGATACAAGGTCTTTAGAAGTGACCCACCGCCCACCCGTCTCTCTTCCCCAGTGATACAAGGTCTCAAGAAGTAAACAACCGCCCACTCGTCTCTCTTCCCCAGTGATACAAGGTCTCAAGAAGTAAACAACCGCCCACTCATCTCTCTTTCCAAACGATACAAGGTCTCAAGAAGTGACCCACCGCCCACCCGTCTCTCTTCCCCAGTGATACAAGGTCTCAAGAAGTAAACAACCGCCCCCTCGTCTCTCTTCCCCACCGATACAAGGTCTCTAGAAGTGAGCCACCGCCCACTCGTCTCTCTTCCCAACCGATACAAGATCTCAAGAGCTAAACCACCGCCCACTCGTTTCTCTTCCCGACCGAAACAAGGTCTCAAGAAGTGACCCACCGCCAACCCGTCTCTCTTCCCGAGTGATACAAGGTCTCAAGAAGTAAACCACCGCCCACTCGTTTCTCTTCCCGACCGAAACAAGGTCTCAAGAAGTGACCCACCGCCCACCCGTTTCTCCTCCCCACCGACACAAGGTCTCAAGAAGTGACCCACCGCCCACCCGTCTCTCTTCCCCAGTGATACAAGGTGTCTAGAAGTGACCCACCGCCCACTCGTCTCCCTTCCCCACCGATACAAGGTCTCAAGAAGTGACCCACCGCCCACCCGTCTCTCTTCCCCGGTGATACAAGGTCACAAGGAGTGAACCACCGCCCACCCGTCTCTCTTCCCCAGTGATACAAGGTGTCAAGAAGTGAACCACCGCCCACCCGTCTCTCTTCCCCAGTGATACAAGGTGTCAAGAAGTGAACCACCGCCCACCCGTCTCTCTTCCCCAGTGATACAAGGTGTCAAGAAGTGAACCACCGCCCACCCGTCTCTCTTCCCCAGTGATACAAGGTCTCAAGAAGTGAACCACCGCCCACCCGTCTCTCTTCCCCACCGATACAAGGTCTCAAGAAGTAAACTACCGCCCACCCGTCTCTCCTCCCCACCGATACAAGGTCTCAAGAAGTTAACCACCACCCACCCGTCTCTCTTCCCCACCGATACAAGGTGTCAAGAAGTGAACCACCGCCCACCCGTCTCTCTTCCCCAGTGATACAAGGTGTCAAGAAGTGAACCACCGCCCACCCGTCTCTCTTCCCCAGTGATACAAGGTCTCAAGAAGTGAACCACCGCCCACCCGTCTCTCTTCCCCAGTGATACAAGGTCTCAAGAAGTAAACCACCACCCACTCGTCTCTCTTCCCCACCGATACAAGGTCTCAAGAAGTAAACAACCGCCCACTCGTCTCTCTTCCCCACCGATACAAGGTCTCAAGAAGTAAACCACCGCCCACCCGTCTCTCTTCCCCAGTGATACAAGGTCTCAAGAAGTGAACCACCGCCCACCCGTCTCTCTTCCCAACCGATACAAGGTCTCAAGAAGTGACCCACCGCCCACCCGTCTCTCTTCCCCACCGATACAAGGTCTCAAGAAGTATACCACCGCCCACCCGTCTCTCTTCCCCAGTGATACAAGGTCTCAAGAAGTGAACCACCGCCCACCCGTCTCTCTTCCCCACCGATACAAGGTCTCAAGAAGTGACCCACCGCCCACCCGTCTCTCTTCCCCAGTGATACAAGGTGTCTAGAAGTGACCCACCGCCCACCCGTCTCTCTTCCCCAGTGATACAAGGTCTCAAGAAGTGAACCACCGCCCACCCGTCTCTCTTCCCCACCGATACAAGGTCTCAAGAAGTATACCACCGCCCACCCGTCTCTCTTCCCCAGTGATACAAGGTATCAAGAAGTGAACCACCGCCCACCCGTCTCTCTTCCTAACCGATACAAGGTCTCAAGAAGTGACCCACCGCCCACCCGTCTCTCTTCCCCAGTGATACAAGGTCTCAAGAAGTGAACCACCGCCCACCCGTCTCTCTTCCTAACCGATACAAGGTCTCAAGAAGTGAACCACCGCCCACCCGTCTCTCTTCCCCAGTGATACAAGGTCTCAAGAAGTGACCCACCGCCCAACCGTCTCTCTTCCCCAGTGATACAAGGTCTCAAGAAGTGAACCACCGCCCACCCGTCTCTCTTCCCCAGTGATACAAGGTGTCAAGAAGTGAACCGCCGCCCACTCGTCTCTCTTCCCCAGTGATACAAGGTCTCAAGAAGTGAACCACCGCCCACCCGTCTCTCTTCCCCAGTGATACAAGGTCTCAAGAAGTGAACCACCGCCCACTCGTCTCTCTTCCCAACCGATACAAGGTCTCAAGAAGTGAACCACCGCCCACCCGTCTCTCTTCCCAACCGATACAAGGTCTCAAGAAGTGAACCACCGCCCACCCGTCTCTCTTCCCCAGTGATACAAGGTCTCAAGAAGTGAACCACCGCCCACCCGTCTCTCTTCCCCACCGATACAAGGTCTCATGAAGTGAACCACCGCCCACCCGTCTCTCTTTCCCAGTGATACAAGGTCTCAAGAAGTGAAACACCGCCCACCCGTCTCTCTTCCCCAGTGATACAAGGTCTCAAGAAGTAAACCACCACCCACCCGTCTTTCGGCCGCGTCATTCCACAAGATGGTTCTTGTTATTACTCTGTCTGGCGCTTGGCTAAAAGAAGGACTGATGGGCTCTATATACTGTCACTCTATATAGTCACTCTACTGACTCAGTATCCATGTTTAACTGCAGCATTGTATCTAAGTGGGCCACGGCCTCCGTGGTCTAGTGGTAGAGCGTCCGCCCGGAGAGCGGAAGGTCCGGGGTTCGATCCCCGACCGCGTCATACCAAAAGACGTTAAAAGATGGTACTTGTTGTTACCCTGTCTGGCGGTCGGCATTAAGGGGCTAAAACAAGGACCGGTCGGCTCGGAGTCAGTATACTGTGTCTGAGTTGGGTATTCATGTTAAACTGCGGCATGGTATCTCAGTGTGCTAGCACTATAAATCGGCATCAGTCCGGACTAGTACAAGCAGCCACACACACACGTGCATGCACGTCGCTATATAAGTGGAACAATCTTGGATGCGACGTTAAACCCCATTTCCCCTCACCTATCTTAGTGGGCTTGCACTATAAAACGGCCTCAGTACAGACTCGTACAAGCAGCCACACACACACACGTCGCTATATAAGTGCAATAATCTTGGAGGCGACGTTAAAACCCATTTCACCTCGCCTCACCTATCTTATAGTGACTATAAGTAACTATACTGTATAGTGATATGGAAGAACCGGGAACTTCCTTTTCTTTTAAGTGGTATATTTGGTGTATTGTTATTATTGTTATCATCATCATTATTACTATCACGTGTTTCAGGTGAATTACGTCAATGATGGGGTTACTCCGCTACTTGACGTCAGGTCCACGTGTTTTAGGTATGTGTTTTTATACATATTCATATTTTAAGTGAACCCTGAAATGGGACAATGAAATGACTTATCTCAAGATTGATATGGAATACGCTGTTCAGTTGGAGCAGGGTGTCTGGAATATCAGGGTGTCTGGAACATCGAGGTGCACTGTTTGACAGGGTGTCTGGAACATCGAGGTGCACTGTTTAACAGGGTGTCTGTGGAACATCGGGTTGCACTGTTTAACAGGGTGTCTGGAACATCGGGACTCTTTATTCACAAATTGAAGTCATTTCACTGTCCTTGGACATCATTGGAATATCTGCTACCGGTTCATTGACAGCAATTGTAGGTTGACTACGGTTAACTGACATCAATGGTAGATCTGCTTCTGTCCATTGGCTTCAATGGTAGATCTGCTACGGTTCATTGACAGCAATTGTAGGTTGACTACGGTTAATTGACATCAATGGTAGATCTGCTTCTGTCCATTGGCTTCAATGGTAGATCTGCTATGGTTCATTGACAGCAATTGCAGGTTGACTACGGTTAACTGACATCAATGGTAGATCTGCTTCTGTCCACTGGCTTCAATGGTAGATCTGCTTCTGTCCACTGGCTTCAATGGTAGATCTGCTTCTGTCCACTGGCTTCAATGGTAGATCTGCTTCTGTCCATTGGCTTCAATGGTAGATCTGCTACGGTTCATTGACATAAATGGTAAGTCTGCTACGATACATTGGCATCAATGGTAAGTATGCCATGGTTCTCTGACAACAGTCGTATCACCATTATTGTGCATTGTTACTGTCCATGACTTCAGTGGTGTTTCTGCTATAGAAGTCTGCTTCTACATACTTAGGTTTAGCAACAAGCGATGTTTATTGCAGGTAGACGTCCGTTGCTCGCACCGGTGTTTCTGCTGCTGGTGGCGACGTTATTCTACTTCGTCACAATACTGCAGACATCAGGCACCCACGGTTCTCCAGGCGGCAGGAACCTGCCCTCGCACCCACAGGAACTCCTTCACGGTAAACATTATGGCAACACACAGACTGCGTGATGGTGTCTGTATCTAACGTCAATTAAACTAGGCTGTAAAAGAATGCTGATTATTCTTTTTTGCTTATTCCGTTTATTTATATTATCGGCGGCACGGGTGGCCCAGTCGTCTAAGGCGCCGAATTTCGCTGTGCAGTGTTGAATCCCTTGAGCAGGCCAGAAACCTAAGGGTTCAAATCACGGTTCGACCCGATTACGTTTCTTGGTTTGCCAGCACCACACCGTGCTCGTGTGTTTCACCGAATCGGTAAACGTCTTTTCGGGCTATCTAAGCTCACACGCCGTGATATAACTGGAATACCGTTAAGCGGCGTAAACCCAACTCACTCACTTATTTATGACATATCATTGTTGGTATTTGATATTTCGGACTGCGCACCAAACTTGTTTAACATGAATATTCTTTGTGGTTGAAAGACCTACGTCATATAGATCAAGACCGCCGTGTAAGAAAAAGCCCCAAAACAGACAATGAGCGACATAGAAATCATGGCGGAGACGTCAGGGGTGTCATCAGACAGCGCGAGGTCGTGGATGACGACAGCGACAATGTTGTTGACAGACTTGTAGGTTTATACAAGAAGAAGCTAGAAGGTGAGTACTACCGGGATGTGTACTTCTACTATAGACAAAGGTGAGGTGGGGTGAAATGGGGTTTAACGTCGCGTCCAAAATTATTGCACTTATAGAGTGTGTGTGTGTCTGCTTGTACTATTGCCGTTGCCGATTTATAGTACTAGCTCACTGAGATTAACATGAATACCCCACTCAGACACAGTAAACTGACTCCGAGCCGACCAGTCGACAGGGCGCCAGACAGGGTAACAACAAGTACCACCTTTTAACCTTTTAACCCCGAACCCCGAACCGTCTCCGCCCTACCACTAGACCACGGAGGCGGTCATATAGATAAAGATTGACATCAGCAGCACATTGTTGTTGGTTGCGTTTCAGGCAAAGATGGTGTTAGTGTCGTGGATGTCGTTGATGCTGAGGCTGTTTTGTATCTGTTCCAGTTCTGACGTCACGGCGTCGTAACGTCTTCCCTTCCCCGCAGAAGAGCTGCACCCAACAGAGGAGCATATGTAAGTCAAGGGAAGCAACTCCTGAAAATAACATGGATTTTGTGGACCATGAGTGAATGAGTGAGTGAGTTGGGTTTAACGCCGCTTTTAACAGTATTCCAGTTATATCACGGCGTGTAAGCTTAATATGGTAGGAAAGCCCGAAGTGATGCAGGTCTCAGACGTTTATCACTTCGGTGAAACCCACGAGCACGAGTATGGTGCTGACAAACCTAGAAACATAATCGGGGCGAACCGGGATTCGAACCAACAATCACAGGTTTCTGGCGTGCCCAGGGGACGCAACTCTGCACAGCGAATCGCGGCGCCTTAGACGACTGGGCCACCCGTGCCCCCTGTGGACCATGTGTCAGTGGTATCAGGCTCAGCAAAGTGGCAGGGGCGTTGTTCAGATAATAATCGCGTCTTTACGACGCTTCAGTGAACATTCATCAATATCACGGTTTGTACCACTACAAATTGTCAGCCACATTGTTATCATGCAGGGGGGTGGGGGAGGGGCGGTCGGGTAGCCTGGTGGTTAAAGCGTTCGCCCGTCACGCCGAAGACCTAGGTTCGATTCCCGACATGGGTACAATGTGTGAAGGCCATTTCTGGTGTCCCCCGCCGTGATATTGCTGGAATATTGCTAAAAGCGGCGTAAAACCATACTCACTCACTCATGCAGGGATTCAAATCCGAACTTCTGCTTGACAAACAAACGGCTTAACAACTAGGCTAACCCACTGTCTGATGTATCACCTAAGAGATTGTCATACTTTCACTGTACAAATATTCACGAATTAATAAAATATGTTTGTTCATAAATGTTTTCAGTTCGACCATGTGTAGATGACACGTGCTCCGACAGCTTCCTTCACCCACCGGAAGAAAATTTGCGTGATCTGCTCCGTCGCCAACACGTGATTCCGGCCAAATACCTGCGCGTGCTGCGTAACATGACTGACCCATCAGTGGACAAGACCAGTGTCACCTTCCTAACGGGTGTGTCCGCCAACCACTACCTCGAGGGTCAGCCGCTCATCAAGAACCTCGTGGAGGAGGTGTTCCCCAGTCAGCTGGACTACCGGTTCTATGTGTATGACCTTGGCCTCAACGACAAACAGCGACATTCCGTGAGTGATTTCTTCAATCCTGCTAAAGTCATGTTTATTTTGTTCTTTAACGTCGTAGTCCGCCTCCGTGGTCTAGTGGTAGAGCGTCCGCCCGGAGAGCGGAAGGTCCGGGGTTCGATCCCCGGCCGCGTCATACCAAAGGACGTTATAAGATGTACTTGTTGTTACCCTGTCTGGCGCTCGGCATTAAGGGGCTAAAAAACAAGGACCGGTCGGCTCGGAGTCAGTATACTGTGTCTGAGTGGGGTATTCATGTTAAACTGCGGCATGGTATCTCAGTGAGCTAGCACTATAAATCGGCATCAGTCCGGACTAGTACAAGCAACCACACACACACACACACACACACACACACGTGCATGCACGTTGCTATATAAGTGCAATAATCTTGGAGGCGACGTTAAACCCAATTTCACCTCACCTCATCTCTTTAACGTCGCATGTTTTACGCCGCTTTAAGCAATATTCCAGTAATATCACGGCGGGGACACCAGAAATGGGCTTAACACGTTGTACCCATGTCGGGAATCGAACCCAGGTCTTCGGCGTGACGAGCGAACGCTTTAACCACTAGGCTAGCCGACCGCCCTCGAATAATCGAGTCTGAACCAGACAATGACAATGACTAACGTCATGCACATTGGTCTATGCAATTGGATTACGATGATATGCATCAACCATGTCAGCGAGCCTGACTACCAGATCCCGTTTGTCGACTCTCACGATAAGCATGGGTTGCTGAAGACAATTCTAACCCGGATCTTCACAGGTATCTAGTCTTGTCTAGTCTAGTATGTTGAATAGTGAACATTACGTAAACTAGTGAGTGGGTTGGTGAGTGAGTGAGTATGGTTTAACGCCGCTTAAATTAGCGAAACTTCAGCATCATAACAGCGGTGGATACCAAAACTATAGGCTTCACACATTGTACCATTGTGGGGAGTCGAACCCGGGACTGCGGCATGACGAGCGAACGTTTGAACCATTAGACTACCCTGCCGCTCCCACCAACTTGTGTTTCAATGCTATCTAGGAACCTTAATGTACACTAACGCCGTGGTGATTCCCGGGTAGTGTTGGTCACTAGTTGGTTGCCTGTTAGGGTCGATTTAAATGGATCTGTGGTTTTGGTCGGTGACTTTACTGATTGCGTGTGGTCGAACCCCGACTGCGTGGATCGTTGCACATGCTCTCGATCACTGGTTTGTCTGGTCCAGGTTCCATGTGTACATGACGCCGTGATACAGCTTGACTCTTGCCGACTGCAACTTTCACTCACTCACTTCACACACTGTAGTTTACTGATAGTGAGTGAGTCTGGTTTTACGCCACCTTTAGCAATATTACAGCAATATCACGGCAGGGGGACACCACAAATGGGCTTCACACATTGAACCCATCTCGGGAATCGAACCCGGGTCTTCGTCGTGACGAGCGAACGCTTTAACCACTAGGCTGTCCGACCGTTCTGATATACTGATAGCTCTTTGACTGGAAGATATTCTACCCACTTGTAGGGCCTGTATTCAAGTAGCCAGTAGCATTTCTATGGCCTAGAAGGCAGACTTTGTAGCTCCATCTTATTAAAATCTGATCTCAGTGCTCGCTACCTTTACACAAAGATCTGAGGACTTCCCATTAAAGGTCACGTTAGAACCACCTTTCATCCCACCAATCACAGCGTCGCTTACGGGATCGCGAAAGTGTTTTGGACAACTGGTGACGTCCCTGATTTTCAGTAATCCTCTCTTACAGATAGTTGGCCTTTAACAGACAGGGGGTTCTGTTTCGTCGGATAGTCGAGACTGGTCATTCTCTGAGTGCGAAAGGTAGACATCGTCGATCTCTTGCTTCAATGGGATAAACATTTGAAACGGAAGATACTTTCCATGGCCCGTGGGACGCATTGCCATACGATCTTGGCCATCTACAAGACATTCCAGAACTTTCTGTTGTACAGTTTTCAAATTTTAAATTGAGAACTTTGTCCAAATATTTGTCAGAGCTTGTCTTGAATGGAAGCCGTACTTTAAAGCTCGGGATTGCTGATTTCTGTGTCGACGTCTTGTTAGTCATTTCACTGGTCAACCAATGTCGTTCTGACGTGACCTGTAATGTTTGTTTATCTGTTTAACGCCGCTCTCAGCAATATTCAAGCTTTATGACGGCGGTCTGTAAATAATCGAGTCTGGACCAGACAATCCAGAGATTGACATCATGAGCATCGGTCTATGCATTTGGGAGCCTGACCACCCGATCCCGTTAGTCGCCGCATACGACAAGCATAGTCGCCTTTTACGGATCTTCACGTGTATGACCTGTAATGGGGTGTCCTCTTTGAGATTGCTTTTTCGCAGAACTGTAAGCTTTATGAAGACAAGAAGCACAGTCTGAGGACTAGTAGAAGTCTTTACTAACACTGTCAGGTGATGGTTTTCACAGCATCAGTACCACCATAGCTAAGCCAAGAACTGCATGTATATATGCCTTGCAGTAATGGTGAATAAGTGAGTGAGTGAGTGAGTTGGGTTTAACGCCGCTTTTAACAGTATTCCAGTTATATCGCGGCATGTCAGCTTAATGTGGGAGGAAAGCCCGAAGTGATGCAGGTCTCAGACGTTTACCACTTCGGTGAAACCCACGAACACGGGTATGGTGCTAACAAACCTAGAAACATAATCGGGGCGAACCGGGATTCGAAGCCACAATCATAGGTTTCTGGCGTGCCCAAGGGACGCAACTCTGCACAGCGAATCGCGGCGCCTTAGACGTCTGGGCCACCCGTGACCCCAAAGGTGTATAAGAATGGAACTGCAGAAACGTGTGCACCGATCATACGGCGCCAGACGCTAGACATGGCGATTGCAGTCACATGGTATGTAAATATGCAGTTTCTTGTTGCTTTGGAAACATACAGACATCTCATCATACTTCTCCCTTCTTGCCTCAGTTCCAGAACCACTGCCCCCAGTGCCAGTTGAGGAGCTTCCCCTTCTCCCAGCTTCCTCCCGTCTTCTCCAACCTCAAGTCATATGCCTGGAAGTCAGCCATCATACAGGTAGGCGTGGTCGGTATACGTTAGGTGTCACCATCACAATGGAAGGCGTCGTCATCATAAAGATGAGGTTGTGTGTATTCAACACAGAGGTGTGTGTATTCACCGTAGAGGTTGGTTTATTCACCATAGGGGTGTGTGTATTCACCATAGAGGTTGGTGTATTCACCTTAGAGGTGTGTGTATTCACCATACAGGTTGGTGTATTCACCATAGGGGGGTGTGTATTCACCATAGGGGTGTGTGTATTCACCATAGAGGTTGGTGTATTCACCTTAGAGGTGTGTGTATTCACCATATACAGGTTTATGTTTTCACCATAGGGGTGTGTGCATTCACCAGACAGTTTGGTGTATTCACAATAGGGGTGTGTGTATTCACCTTAGAGGTGTGTGTATTCACCAGACAGTTTGGTGTATTCACCATAGGGGTGTGTGTATTCAACATAGAGGTTAGTGTATTCACCATAGGGGTGTGTGCATTCACCAGACAGTTTGGTGTATTCACCATAGGGGTGTGTGTATTCACCTTAGAGGTGTGTGTATTCACCATACAGGTTGGTGTATTCACCATAGGGGGGTGTGTATTCACCAGACAGTTTGGTGTATTCACCATAGGGGTGTGTGTATTCACCTTAGAGGTGTGTGTATTCACCATACAGGTTGGTGTATTCACCATAGTGGGGGGTGTATTCACCATAGAGGTTAGTGTATTCACCATACAGGTTTGTGTATTCACCATAGAGGTGTGTGTATTCACCATATACAGGTTGGTGTATTCACCATAGGGGTGTGTGTATTCACCTTAGAGGTTAGTGTATTCACCTTATACAGTTTGGTGTATTCACCATAGGGCTGTGTGTATTCACCTTAGAGGTGTGTGTATTCACCATATACAGTTTGGTGTATTCACCATAGGGGTGTGTGTATTCACCTTAGAGGTGTGTGTATTCACCATACAGGTTGGTGTATTCACCATAGGGGTGTGTGTATTCACCATTGAGGTTGGTGTATTCACCATACAGGTTTGTGTATTCACCATAGAGGTGGGTGTATTCACCACACAGGTGGGTGTATTCACCATACAGGTGGGTGTATTCACCATACAGGTTGGTGTATTCACCTTAGAGGTGTGTGTATTCACCATATACAGGTTGGTGTTTTCACCATAGGGGTGTGTGTATTCACCAGACAGTTTGGTGTATTCACCATAGGGTGTGTGTATTCACCTTAGAGGTGTGTGTATTCACCAGACAGTTTGGTGTATTCACCATAGGGGTGTGTGTATTCAACATAGAGGTTAGTGTATTCACCATAGGGGTGTGTGCATTCACCAGACAGTTTGGTGTATTCACCATAGGGGTGTGTGTATTCACCTTAGATGTGTGTGTATTCACCATACAGGTTTGTGTATTCACCATAGGGGTGTGTGTATTCACCACAGAGGTGGGTGTATTCACCATACAGGTGGGTGTATTCACCATACAGGTTGGTGTATTCACCTTAGAGGTGTGTGTATTCACCATATACAGGTTGGTGTTTTCACCATAGGGGTGTGTGTATTCACCAGACAGTTTGGTGTATTCACCATAGGGTGTGTGTATTCACCTTAGAGGTGTGTGTATTCACCAGACAGTTTGGTGTATTCACCATAGGGGTGTGTGTATTCAACATAGAGGTTAGTGTATTCACCATAGGGGTGTGTGCATTCACCAGACAGTTTGGTGTATTCACCATAGGGGTGTGTGTATTCACCTTAGAGGTGTGTGTATTCACCATACAGGTTGGTGTATTCACCATAGGGGGGTGTGTATTCACCATAGAGGTTAGTGTATTCACCATAGAGGTTGGTGTATTCACCATAGAGGTGTGTGTATTCACCATATACAGGTTGGTGTTTTCACCATAGGGGTGTGTGTATTCACCTTAGAGGTGTGTGTATTCACCATACAGGTTGGTGTATTCACCATAGGGGTGTGTGTATTCACCATAGAGGTTAGTGTATTCACCATAGAGGTTGGTGTATTCACCATAGAGGTGTGTGTATTCACCATATACAGTTTGGTGTATTCACCATAGGGGTGTGTGTATTCACCTTAGAGGTGTGTGTATTCACCATACAGGTTGGTGTATTCACCATAGGGGTGTGTGTATTCACCATTGAGGTTGGTGTATTCACCATACAGGTTTGTGTATTCACCACAGAGGTGGGTGTATTCACCACACAGGTGGGTGTATTCACCATAGAGGTTGGTGTATTCACCTTAGAGGTTTGTGTATTCACCATACATGTGTGTGTATTCACCATACAGGTGGGTGTATTAACAATACAGCTGGTTGTATTCACCATACAGGTTGGTGTACTCACCATAGAGGTTGGTGTATTCACCATACAGGTTGGTGTATTCACCATACAGGTTGGTGTACTCACCATAGAGGTAGATGTGATCATCCTAAGAAGCTTGTTCCGTCTCAATACCCGTGTGTTTGTCGAAAGAAGTAAATTAAATGTCTGTTGGTGAACAATGCTACGGGAAGATAGCATGAACTGAATACGTGTGGGTATGCTTGGTTGAAAAATCCCTCCACGAGTAAATCTTTCAGGAACGTGAGGTGACATGTTAACATTTACTTACAAGCTCCTGCTTTGTTATTAGCCATTGTGACATTTGTTTGTTGTGGTATGTTTTGAGCCCATTGTCTAGCGAAGATGGAGTCAGAATAATCACCTAATTCTAGATAACTTATAACTTTCTAAAATCCATGAGAAGCAAAAATGCAAAATATGTCTTAATATTCATGTATCCGCCCATGATACACCTCTTTTACCTTTCACCTCCAATGGAATCAGTTTCGTCGGATAATCTGGCGTTGCTATTGTGTATTTCCACCACCAATCAATGCATTCGGGAAGATCCGGGGTAGAATAGGTCTTCAGCAACCCATGCTTGCCGTAAAAGGCGACTATGCTTGCCGTAAAAGGCGACTTACGGGATCGGGTGGCCAGGCTCGCTGACTTGGTTGATGCATGTCATTGATCCCTATTGCGTGGATCGATGCTCATTATGTCAATCACTGGATTGTCTGGTCCAGACACGATTATTTACAGACCGACGTCAAATAGCTGAGATATGGCTGGGAGTGCGGCTTTAAACAACAAACAAACAAATAAACAAAACAAAACAATGTTAATACATGTTTGTGGTCAACATGTCATGACTGCACTACTACAACTACCCCCCTTCCTCCTACAGGCTCATCTCCCAGTGTCGGACTTCGTCATCTGGGTCGACTCTTCTGTCAGGTTCACAACTTCAAATCTCACGTCAGTTCTCGAGGAAGTACGAGAGCGTGGCATGATGGTCTCCACGTCATCCATCTCCACAGCCATTCACACAGATCCCCGGATGTACGACTATTTTGGAGTGACGTCATGCCTCATGTCCCGCTTCCGGGAGTTGGAGGGCGGGTTCTTGTTATGGCACAACAGTTTCTACACCCAGCACGCCATCCTGTCCCCCTGGCTGGCCTGCGCCTTCTCCCCCAAGTGCATGTACCTGTATAAGACACCAGCGCCATCTAGCGTGTATGACTGCAGGATGAAGGTCAGGACTTACGGCACGTGTCATCGATTTGACCAATCAGCAATGAGTACCATTCTTTCAAAACTTTACGGAGACAATGTGGGGTTCTTCATTGTAAGGAAGGGACGAATACACAAGTACAATCTCCATGAAAAATTTCAATATTTAGCTGACTGAAATGTGGAGTAAATGATTTGGGTCCTGGGCCCGCTTGCACAAAGCGATCTTAGCGTAAGATGATCTTAACTCCATACTTTAACATAGGCTTACGATAGTCTCAGCGCTAAGATCGGTTTGTGCAAGGGGGCCCTGGTTACGAGATGTAAACTTTAAGGTTTTCTAGTATTGGTTTACATTCGTCATTTGTCGTATGCGCGGAAACCATTTGCCACGTGAGCTGATATAGAACACTTGCAATGAGCTGCATGTATGGACCTTGTGGAATAATGTGTTGAAAGCACTTGTGATATGCACTACAAGATTGGACAATTTCAGCTAATGTGTTTCAACTGCTGACTGTATAAAGCTTAAGTATGAACAATGTTAACTTGAATATGATATACACCCGCAGTAAAGTTTGAACCACATGCGATGATTTATTGGCCCCATGTGTGAAATATGTAGGCTGACATGTTACAACATATGCGATCGTAGACTGGACCACGTGAGCTGACATGTTACAACATATGCAATCGTAGACTGGACCACGTGAGCTAAAATGTTACAACAGCTGCGATCGTAGACTGGACCACGTGAGCTGACATGTTACAACAGCTGCGATCGTAGTCTGGACCAGAAAATCCAGTGAGTGACATCATGAGCATCGGTCCACGCAATTGGGATACGATCACATGCATGAACCAAGTCAGCGAGTCTGACCGCCCGATCCCGTTAGTCGCCTCTTACGACAAGCATAGTCGCCTTTTACGGCAAGCATGGGTTGCTGAAGACCACTTTGTGAACTGATATTTTAGTCAGTCATTATTCCTGAAATGGGACGTTATGGGATGTAGCACTTAATAGTATTTGAGGGAGTCGGGTTTAACACGTTTTCAACAATATATCAATTATATCACGATGTGTCAGCTTGATGTAGGAGATGTCTGAAATGTTTACTTCTTTGGTGAAACTCGCCACGGGTGTGGTGCTGTTAAGCTTAGAAACATAATCAGGAGAATCGAGATTCCCAATTCCGATCATAGATTTCTGGCACGCCGAAAGGACGCACCTATGCACAACACATTTGCGGTGCCATAGATATTCGCCATGTCTCAGACGACTGGCAAGCACATAATTACTGCGAACCGTTATCGTGTGGGAAACCCCCCTAAAGTCAAGTTTGTTACGTTTTATAGAATACTTTGACAAAATAAAGCAAATCTTGACATAAAATTGTTGTTGTCTTTTGTTTAAGTAGACCCACATGTTGGCGTCTTTGCGTGCTCCATGGTCACACACGCAAACACGCACACACGCACACATGCACACACGCACACATGCACACACGCACACACGCAAACATGCACACACGCACACACGCAAACACGCACACACGCAAACACGCACACATTCACACGCGCGCACATGCACACACGCACACATTCACAAGCGCGCACACACACATTCACACGCGCGCACATGCACACATTCACACGCGCGCACACACACACATTCACACACACTCACATTCACACGCGCGCGCACACACACACACATTCACACATGCACACACTCACACATTCACACACGCACACATTCACACGCGCGCACACACACACATGCACACAACCACACACGCAAACATTCACACATGCACACACGCACACATTCACACGCGCGCACACACACATGCACACATTCACACACGCAAACACTCACACATTCACACACGCACACATGCACACACGCAAACATTCACACACGCACACACGCACACATGCAAACACAGACACACAGTACGCTCTATTCCGGTGAAATGACAACAAACGCATGAGTTCTTTCCTTCAGAAATAATTAATTTCATCACAAAGTCATAATGTAACTTGATAAAAATGTGTATATAAATACTATCACAGATTTTGACATTGAACAGATAAATACTGAATAATTTCACGTACACATTTGAAAGACACGCTCAGAATATATAAATATAATTTTGTACAGACAATATTGAGATTACGAGGAAACAAACATAGTATTGCAAAACATAATAGATCTTTCCACAGAACAGTGAGACAGACGAGCTCATGAAAGACGATAATACTGAAAATAGACATCACAGCACTCACACAAAGGGGATATCAGCCCTTTGGAGATATCAGAACTGTAATAAACATCACTCCTGGTGAGATACCAGTCATACAGCAGATATCAGTCCTGTACGACACATGAGATATCAGTCCTGTACGACACATGAGAAATCAGTCCTGTATGACACATGAGATATCAGTCCTGTATGACATAAGAGATATCAGTCCTGTACGTCACATGAGATATCAGTCCTGTATGACACATGAGATATCAGTCCTGTATGACACATGAGATATCAGTCCTGTATGACACGCGAGATATCAGTCCTGTATGACACGCGAGATATCAGTCCTGTATGACACATGAGATATCAGTCCTGTATGACACGCGAGATATCAGTCCTGTATGACATATGAGATATCAGTCCTGTACGACATATGAGATATCAGTCCTGTACGGCATATGATACACCAGTCCTGTTAGGCACGTGAGAAAGTCCTGTATGACCTAAGAGATATCAGTCCTGTACGACATATGAGATATCAGTCCTGTACGACATATGAGATATCAGTCCTGTATGACACATGAGATATCAGGCATGTACGACATATGAGATATCAGTCCTGTGTGACATATGAGATATCAGTCCTGTGTGACACATGAGATATCAGTCCTGTACGACACATGAGATATCAAGTCTTCTAGGATATGTCAGTCTGTATGAGATATCTTCATATGGTCTGTAGAGGAGAACGACTAGATAGACGGGGCTTTTGGTCACTAGAGGAGAACCACTAGATCGATGGGGCTCTTAGACAGTAGAGGTGAACCACTAGATAGACGGGGCTTTTGGTCACTAGAGGAGAACCACTAGATAGTCGGGGCTTTTGGTCAGTAGAGGAAAACCACTAGATAGACGGAGCTTTTGGTCAGTAGAAGAAAACCACTAGATAGACGGGGCTTTTGGTCAGTAGAGGTTAACCACTAGATCGATGGGTCTCTTGGTCAGTAGATGAGAATCACTGGATCGATGGGTCTCTTGGTCAGTAGACCAATAGATGGATTAGTAGACATGTGTGGATCTGGACCAATAGATGGATTAGTAGACATATGTGGGTCTGGGCCAACAGATGGATTAGTAGACATATGTGGTTCTGGACCAATAGATGGATTAGTAGACATATGTGGTTCTGGACCAATAGATGGATTAGTAGACATATGTGGTTCTGGACCAATAGATGGATTAGTAGACATATGTGGTTCTGGACCAATAGATGGATTAGTAGACATATGTGGTTCTGGACCAATAGATGGATGGGTAGACATATGTGGTTCTGGACCAATAGATGGATTAGTAGACATATGTGGTTCTGGACCAATAGATGGATTAGTAGATTGATAGGCACTCGTGGTGGCATATGTCCTACTTCAAACCGTCAACATGTTACTGACTTTTACACTGCAATTGTTCAGAATAGCTGAACTTAACGGTACAAGTGATGTATGTAACTATGGCAACATCCACATTAAAACAGATACGCAAACGAAAAGACGTTGAAGAATACTGATGGACATGTCAGTGGGTGTACGTGCATCCGGGTAGTGGGTCTTTCAGCCGATATCAACTTATCAATATATACACATCTTTTAAGATGTTGATGAGCATTGAATCGTAGACTTTTAGAACGTTGATACCGCAGACCATCTTCCCGAGGCAAGGTAGTTAACTGACTATAAAAAGTCCAGCTTCTACCCTTGCCGACCTAGGCTGGAATAAGTCATATTTTGGCTGGGCCAACGAGTCTATGCATAGTCCAATCAAAATAGCGTAACATAATCTACATCCGGTTGGCGCAGATTTAGGTCGATTGTTGGATTTGCAGAGTATGTATACCGTCAACTCAGAGTCAACATATATTTTCCTAACCATTTCACGTTTTTAATCAAGGAGCTCACGTGATTTGATATACTTCGCAAAGTAAGACCCGTTTTATTACAATATAGAATTTGATTGTCGATCAGATCGTCTTCACTTGGCGACGACATTTTATTTGAAGCAAATGCAAGTGGTATGAGAGGAGGAATCTGATTGGTCGATAGGAGAGACATAGAAGGGACATAAGTCGTAATAGCCACTGGCGCCGCTACGATCGAGCCCCGAAACTCCAGCCTAGTTCGGCAAGGGTGGAAACCGGACCTTTACAGTCCGTAAACTCCCTTGACTCGGGAAGATGACCGCAGAGAGTCTGCAGCTTCCCTGTTGCTGCAAAGCTGCTGTTGATACAGGGAACGTAAGTCATGTTGCTCTCTATGTCGGTGATGTTAGAGCTGTTGCTGTAGATGACGATGATGTAAACTGTTACTGTCGGCTATGTTAGTCCTTTTCATGTAGATGAGGATTTGTAGTTATTGTCGCAGTGGAATGAGTGTGTTAAAATTTAACGTCGCATCGGCTTAATTTCAGCCAAATAGCGATGTCGCAGTAGAGGTTGGTGATGTTGGTATCTTTTCTTTTGATGCCGGTTGTGTAACTCTTGTTGTAGGTGCCGGTGATATATATACGTGTGTGTGTGTGTGTGTGTGTGTGTGTGTGTGCGTGCGTGCGTGCGTGCGTGCGTGCGTGCGTGCGTGCGTGCGTGCGTGCGTGCGTGCGTGTGTGTGTGTGTGTGTGTGTGTGTGTGTGTGTGTGTGTGTGTGTGTGTGTTGCATTTGATGCCGGAGATGAAGGTGTTGCTGCTGTGGGCGGTGATGTAGGTGATGTTGCTGTTGATGATGATGATGTAAATGTTGTTGCTGTTGATATCGGGGTTGTAGGTGTTGTTGCTGTTGATATCGGGGTTGTAGGTGTTGTTGCTGTGATGTAGATGTTGTAGCTGTTGATGCTGTGCTGTTGCTATCGTTGTCGGTGATGTAGGCGGTCTTGCTGTTGTTGCGGTGGTGTAGGCGCTGATGTAAGTACGTTACAGTGAAGTGGAAGCTGCAGTGCTGAGATAAGAGTGTCCAATGTCAATACTGTTCAACAGGTGGCCAACGCCGATCAGTGCATGTCGAAATACTTCTGTGTATTGAGAGTCGTTACACACATATCACTCACCGACATCCGCTAGTGTGTAATACGGCAACGCCTTATCGGAATGTTTTATGCCTATGGTGAACCGTGGACTGGCCTGTTTGCCATAGAACAACTTATCAGTGTCATAGGCCCCAGGGCCCGGGTTTTGTTGCTTGTAGCTGGGAAGGTAGTTCCGACCCTTCATGGTAACAACAGGTGCGCGTTTTGTCATGGGGGTTGGGGCTCCATACGCAGCTGGCCCGGGGGTCTTAGACCAGTCGTATGAGAATCCAAACTGGTCCCTACCCCTGAGTGCTACTGCCCGACTCCCTCGGTACCTGGTGACGTCCGAGCCGAGGGTGGATGGGATGTTGTATGTCGTGGGGCCGGGGTTGGCCCCGTCAAAGTTGGGGAAGGAGCGCCGACCAAAGCTGTAGCAGGGGGCGCGCTTGTTGCGCGGGGAGCCCAGACTATCTGTTCGGTAGATCGGTCCCGGAGATATGTTCGCAACTGGTCCTAGAGGGAAATATTTCGTTGTTGTAAGACGTTAAACTATTTCCATATAATATTTATCGCATATTATATTATTATATCATATTGCAAGGAAGAGAATTGGAATTTCAATTTTATCCTTTAACAATTACATGTTAACATGACCGCTTCCATGGTTTAGTGGGAGGGCGTCCGCCGGAGAGTGGAAGGTCCGGGGTTCGATCCCCGGCCGGGTCATACCTAAAGACGTTAAAAGTTGGTACTTGTTGTTACCCTGTCTGGTGCTCGACATAAAGGGGCTAAAACAAGAACTGGTCGGCTCGGAGTCAGTATACTGTGTCTGAGTGGGGTATTCATGTTAAACTGCGGCATGGTATCTCAGTGTGCTAGCACAATAAATCGGTATCATTCCGGACTAGAACAAGCAGCCACACACACACGCGCATGCATGCACGTCGCTATATACGTGCAATAATCTTGGACGCGACGTTAAACCCAATATCTTTTCACCTCCCAGGTTAACAAATGCATTAGAGGATGTTTATAGTTCTCAGTAAAAGTTATACGAATAAATTATTGGAAGGGCTTGGTGGTTGTCTTGGAAACAACAAAGCTGTCGATACAGTTATGAAGGCCAGGTTCCGTCTATAGAGAGATGTAGAGGCGTACTCACTAGGACTGGGTCTCCCGGCCATGGTGACGCCCTTCTCCCTCTCCCGGCCATACTTCGTCACCCTGCTGTCGACATTGTACGCCGGACCAGGGCTGTCGTCCTTGAACTCTGGGGACAGACATCAGCGTCGTAGAGATATGATACTTGGTGATCAAAGTTGCAGTTACACACAACTTTCATCAACAACCACGTCGTTATGGTTCTATATTATCTATGGCTTTGCTATCCCTATTGCGAACACCTGGTGTCGTCACTGATTTTCAGTGACCTATTTAGCAATATTTTCCTATACGGCCAATGGAATCTGTATCAGCAGATAACCGAAACTGGTTATTCCCTGACGTTGGCGATTCATATTTATCGTAACGTTTACGTTTAATTAATATCAGCTATCTGGTTGGATTTTACTGGCGCATCTGCAGAATTTCTGTCATCAGCACCCTGCATTCAGCCTCTCACATTGGCAACGCCGGAACACTTCTGTTTTCGCAGCCGAAGCTACAGATCGTCATCTTCCTCATATCTCGCGCTAATCCGACAGCTACAGCTATATTTGAATCTCACCACAGCCATAATTCAATATCAACGCTACCTCAATCAAGACCCGTGAAGATCCAGGGTAGAATAGGTCTTCAGCAACCCATGTTTGTCGTACGAGGCGACTAACGGCATCGGATGACTTGATTGAAGCTTGTCATCGTATCGCGTGGATCGATGCTCATGATGTCAGTCATTGGATTGTCTGGTCCTGACTTGATTATTTACAGAACGCCGTCATAAAGCCGGAATTGTGCTGAGTGCGGCGTTTAACAACAAATTTAATCCAAACACACAGCCGCCGCTATGTTCATCAAAATCAAAACGGCGTACCACCGCCACAATAAAAATCGCACTCCGCCACCACAATTTAAACCGCGCACCACCATTAAAATCCAAACGCATCACCACCACAATCCCGTACCACTAAAATCCAAACACAACCACCACAATTTACACCGCAAAGCACCACCAGCACAATCCCGTACCACCAAACACCACCACCACAATTTACACTGCAAAGCACCACCAGCACAATCCACATTACTCACCACCACAATTTACACCGCAAAGCACCACCAGCAAATATCCTGTACCACCAAACACCAACACCACAATTGAAACCGTAAAGTACCACCAGCAAATATCCTGTACCACCAAACACCAACACCACAATTGAAACCGTAAAGTACCACCAGCAAATATCCTGTACCACCAAACACCAACACCACAATTGAAACCGTAAAGCACCACCAGCAAATATCCTGTACCACCAAACACCAACACCACAATTGAAACCGCAAAGCACCACCAGCAAATATCCTGTACCACCAAACACCAACACCACAATTGAAACCGTAAAGTACCACCAGCAAATATCCTGTACCACCAAACACCACCACTACAATTTACACCGCAAAGCACCACCAGCAAATATCCTGTACCACCAAACACCACCACCACAATTTACACCGCAAAGCACCACCAGCAAATATCCTGTACCACCAAACACCACCACCACAATTTACACCGCAAAGCACCACCAGCAAATATCCTGTACCACCAAACACCACCACCACAATTTACACCGCAAAGCACCACCAGCAAATATCCTGTACCACCAAACACCACCACTACAATTTACCCCGCAAAGCACACCCAGCACAATCCTGTACCACCAAACACCACCACTACAATTGAAACCGAAAAGCACAATCCACATTCCTCACCACCATCACGAACCAAGCCAAGCTTTACCGCCTGATGGTACGAAGGAGGCTCTGGGTGTACAGCTGAAATACTCACGGAGATATCTGGATCCAAAGCTGTAGGCAGGTGCCCGTCTCATGCGTGGGTCATGTCGTTCTATCCCCAGGGTAGAGGGGAGGGAGTACGCCGTCTCTGCCATCACACCTGCAACAATTGGGTAGAGACATCCATACACCTGTATGCAACATGTTCAATCGGAAACCCCAGCATGTGGCCCTGTACTTTGAGTGGCACCATTCGCTGTGCGGAGTTGCGTCCCTTAGATGCGCCACGCTCTTATAATGGTGGGTTCGAATCGAAGATTCGCCCTTATTTGATCACTGCCTTATCAGCACCATACCAATGCCACGTTAGTCGATAGTCGGCTACGACAGTTGGGTACATGCTGGTGGACTGACGCGTGAGGTGAGGTGAGGTGAGGTGAGGTGAGGTGAGGTGAGGTCAGGTCAGGTGGGGTGAGTTGAGTTGAGTTGAGGTGTGGTGAGGTTGTGGGGGTGGGGTGGGGTGAGGTGAGGTGAGGTGAGGTGAGGTGAGGTGAGTAGGGGTGAGGTGAGATGGGGTTTAACGTCGCCTTCAAGATTATTGCACTTATATAGCGACGTGCATGCACGCGCGTGTGTGTGTGTGGCTACTTGTACAATGACACGTACATACTGATACAATGACATGTACATACTGGTACAATGACATGTACATACTGGTACAATGACGTGTACATACTGGTACAATGACGTGTACGTACTGTCCCAATGACGCGTACATACTGGTACAATGACGCGTACATACTGGTACAATGACGCGTACATACTGATACAATGGCGCGTACAATGACGTGTACGTACTGGTACAATGACGTGTACATACTGGTACAATGACATGTACATACTGGTACAATGACGTGTACATACTGGTACAATGACGCGTACATACTGGTACAATGACGTGTATATTCTGGTACAATGACGTGTACATACTGGTACAATGACGTGTACATACTGGTACAATGACGCGTACATACTGGTACAATGACGTGTACATACTGGTACAATGACACGTACATACTGATACAATGACATGTACATACTGGTACAATGACGCGTTAATACTGGTACAATGACGTGTACATACTGGTACAATGACGTGTACATATTGGTACAATGACTCGTACATACTGGTACAATGACGTGTACATACTGGTACAATGACGTGTACATACTGGTACAATGACATGTACATACTGGTACAATGACGCGTACATACTGGTACAATGACGTGTACATACTGGTACAATGACGTGTACATATTGGTACAATGACGCGTACATACTGGTACAATGACGTGTACATACTTGTACAATGACGTGTACGTACTGTCCCAATGACGCGTACATACTGGTACAATGACGCGTACATACTGGTACAATGACGCGTACATACTGATACAATGGCGCGTACAATGACGTGTACATACTGGTACAATGACGTGTACATACTGGTACAATGACATGTACATACTGGTACAATGACGTGTACATACTGGTACAATGACGCGTACATACTGGTACAATGACGCGTACATACTGGTACAATGACATGTACATACTGGTACAATGACGTGTACATACTTGTACAATGACGTGTACATACTGGTACAATGACGTGTACATACTTGTACAATGACGTGTACATACTGGTACAATGACGTGTACATACTGGTACAATGACGTGTACATACTTGTACAATGACGCGTACATACTGGTACAATGACGCGTACATACTGGTACAATGACGTGTACATACTGGTACAATGACGTGTACATACTGGTACAATGACGCGTACATACTGGTACAATGACGTGTACATACTGGTACAATGACGTGTACATACTGTCACAATGACGCGTACATACTGGTACAATGACGCGGACATACTGGCACAATAACGTGTACATACTGGTACAATGACGTGTACATACTGGTACAATGACGTGTACATACTGGTACAATGACGTGTACATACTGGTACAATGACGTGTACGTACTGTCCCAATGACGTGTACATACTGTCACAATGACGCGTACATACTTGTACAATGACATGTATATACTGGTACAATGACGCGTACATACTTGTACAATGACGTGTATATACTGGTACAATGACGCGTACAATGACACGTACATACAGGTACAATGACGTGTACATACTGTCACAATGACACGTACATACTTGTACAATGACATGTATATACTGGTACGATGACGCGTACATTCTTGTACAATGACGTGTATATACTGGTACAATGACACGTACATACTGGTACAATGACGTGTACGTACTGGTACAATGACGCGTACATACTTGTACAATGACGTGTATATACTAGTACAATGACGCGTACATACTGGTACAATGACGTGTACATACTGATACAATGACATGTACATACTGGTACAATGACGCGTACATACTGGTACAATGACGTGTACATACTGGTACAATGACGTGTACATACTGGTACAATGACGTGTACATACTGGTAAAATAACAATTATTTATTATATATAACATAAGAAATTGAACGTTTGAAGTAATATACACATACATTGCATACATGAGTTGATATAACAGGTAGCGAGGTACCTCAGTAAAACATTTACCAATGTATTCCTGTCGGTACAATCGTGAATGTCAAGTATCTGTGAAGACGACGAAAAACACACTGTGACATATAAGATCTGTCCAACCTGACTGGCAGCCTGCCTTGAGATTATATAAAACACTCTTAAAGAACTCGGGATAATCGATGAAGGCCTTCATTGCCTCTCCCGAAAGGAGTTCAGGGTTTATAGAACACTATAGCAGAGGGGAGTACTATAGAATACTATTGGACATTCTCGCGATCTCCCATTCTCGCTATCTCGACCTTTGGAAACGAGCTAAATATGCCAAAAGTGCGTGAATGCGAGATCGCGAGAACACGAGATTTTGGCGAGATCGCGAGAACACGAGATTTTGGCGAGATCGCGAGAACACGAGATTTTGGCGAGATCGCGAGAATGTCCCTTACAGTATTCCATAGAGTACCGCTGCCAACATGTGTGGGAATGGACTGCTGGGGCCGGGAAACTGTTGAGTTGAAAGACGGCAGGAAATAAATCAACGAGTGAGTGAAGTGAGCAATAGAGCGAGTGAGTGAAGTACTGGGTGAATGTGTGAGTGTGTGAACAGGTTTCAATGTTATCCTAGCAATTGTTAGTCGTACTGGTATACAACGGGAATATACTGGTACATGAACGGGTACTCACTGGCAGGCTATGTGGTACATACATATCCCTTGACGGGTACATTTTGTACATTTTTGTTAACACTGGTAGACTAACGGGTACATACTGGTTTTCTAAGGGCACAAACAAATACATTAAAGGGTACATACTGTAACTAACGGGTACATAAACACCGGTACATGCTGGTATAGTGACAGGCACACACTTATACAGGGGCGGTCGGGTAGCCTAGTGGTTAAAGCGTTCGCTCGTCACGCCGAAGACCCGGGTTCGATTCCCGACATGGGTACAATGTGTGAAGCCCATTTCTGGTGTCCCCCGCCGTGATATTGCTGGAATATTGCTAAAAGCGGCGTAAAACCATACTCGCTCACTCACTCACTCACTCACACTTATACACTGAAGGACAGACACTAGAATGGGGGCTGGAGTGTGGCGGGTGGGGGGGTTGTGGGGTTGTCGGGTTGTGTATTGGTTCATTAAATGTACATCATGGTACACTAACAGTATAGTGTACAACATTATATACTGATTCAAATACCGGGTACATTCTGATTACATCTCTGAATGTCCCGTGAAGATTCGGGGGTAGAATAGGTCTTCACCTACCCATGCTTGTCGTAAGAGGCGACTAACGGGATCGGGCGGTCAGGCTTGCTGACTTGGCAGATGCATGTCATTATATCTCAGTTGCGCGGATCGATGCTCATGACATCAATCACTGGATTGTCCAGACTCGATTATTGACAGACAGTCTTCATTTCGCTGGAATATTGAGTGCGGCGTTAAACAAAAAACAAACACACACACACACACACACACACACACACACACACACACACACACACACACACACACACACACAAGCAAACAAACAAACAAACAACATCTCTGTATATTGATATTATCTACAGCACCTCGCCTGGTTCGTCACAGTGGCGGCATTTACCCAGGATCTCGCCACTTACTCCATAAATCACTCTCCCTTCGTCTCGCCGCTTACAAGACAAATCCCTCCACCTGGGGCAACAATCACGACTGGATCATTCCCAGAGGATTACCAGGAATTAACTGAGCTGTATTTGTGTTGTTTCCCACCGAAGTTTGGATATACAGCGGGTTCGCTCAGAACAAGTCCCCATACACCCCCCCCCCCCCCCCCCCCCCTCTCCCCTCACCTCCCCTCCCCTCCCCCACGTTCCACGAGCAGCACCAGTCGGCGGCCTGTCCCCCCCCCACCAATGCCGGGAGATTCAGAGGTAACACTACAGCGGGGTAATACACGGCCATATATTTAGTGCTATGGATTGTCAAATACTGAGACGTATCAACGAGTGGGAAACTCAGTTTTTATCTGTATTGGAACAAGGATTGACAAAGTATAGGTTAGCGATCCCCTAAGTCGCCCCTGCACTGTGAAGTAGCCGCGTTATCACCCAGATCAGCATGCACTGCACGGCATTGACATAAAACGCTGCTTCTACAGCTGGTTAATGTGAAATAATGTTGACTTGACAAAAAGTGTATCTGTCGACACGATAACAGAATCGAGATTAAGGTGTACAGCTGAAAAAAACCTTCTAGTTGGGTGTTATACTTATTTGGGGGATCTGTGGGCGCTTCTATGTACAGTTCTTTACATCTACGGCGGACCGTTCTGTTCAAAGACCACTCGCATTTTTCGCATTTAATTCGCGCTCGCGTTAATTTTAGGATTTACAGTATCTGCGACTGATCGTTCTGTTCACGATCTGAAGACCTTTCTTACATCTACGTTAGACCGTTCTCTCCATGATCTGAAGACCTTACTATACATCTAGGCTAGACTGTTTTGTTGATGACCTGAAGACCTTACT